ATGGTCATAATGTAATAGTAAGGTGAAGTCTTGGCTCTTGAATTAAGTGTCACTATAAAATTTACAGTAACATTTTTTGCGTTTCAATGGTGTTTACCCATTTGTATTTACGGGCTCTGCTCCATTCATATTGCTCTGTTTAGGATTTTCCATTTAATAAATTTTGAATTGTATTATAAAATTATGATTCGACCCGATATCAAACCCGACCCGACTACGACCCGTATTCGAAATTATTGTCTTATATATTATCAATTTATCATTCTATCATATGTAGTTATGTACGGTTCGGGAGAGTTCAAATCATTACCAGCTCTAACGGTATAGTTTATTACGTATAAAGCATGATATAATCGCATGTTTGAATATTTAAATTTGTAATCTTTTTACAAATTATAATAACTGTACTGCTTAGAAATTATATTTAGAAAATTGATCAAATTTCTGAAATTTTCCAAATCATCCAAAATATTTTTCTTAAAATTAAGGTTCACAAAAAAAAAAGAATAAAAAAAAAATTAAACTTTACAAAGTTATTGAAAGTTGGCTGTTCTGAACATTAAATAAAGAAATAATCTTTTGTTACCGTTGCCATGAAGAAAAAAAAGGAAATAATTAACAGAAACGAAACCACTTAATTACTTTCCTTTAAAATATATTTATTAATCTGACCGTTGTGAGAGATTAATATCAAATTCCCTTTTTATTTGAACTTCATAATTAATTTGTTTCTCTCTCTCTCTCTCAACTCAACGCTTCTTTCTTCTTCTTCGTTCTTCCTTGAGAGAGAAATCAAAACTCTTCTTCTTCATCTTCTTCTTCAAAACCCTAAATCCATCAATTTCTTTTGAATTCCGATGATGATGATCCACCGGAATCATACTTATACACACTCTGTAAATTCCGATGATAATGATCCAATCCAAGTGGAGAGACGTATTGAAATAAAAGCAACCCAAGGCGACGATGATCCGTGAGGATAAGATTGGAAAGTAATTTTCGATTATCATCGTTTTGTTTCGTTTAATTGATTGAATGAGAGATCAGATCTGATCTCCTCTGTTCTTCTTCTTCTTCTTCTTCAATCTAAAATCAATATCGAGATTTCACAGGATATTGAATCTAGGCCACGGAGACGAGCGAATTCAAAAGTGAAGAGAGGAATCGAATCAATCTGAGGTATTCGTAATAGTCCTCTGTCTTCTTTGGATCTGAATTTGTTATCTAGACTTATTATTAGAGAATAGAGATGACGATGATGTTTAGTGTCTAGAGAATGAATACCTAATTTGTAAATTTGGTACAGATCACATAGTTTGTTGTGGATGCTGAAACTTGTGATAAGCGTAGGTAGTGATTGGTTTGATGCATCACATGACAACCTCGTAGAGTTGCAGAGCCATGTTCGTGTGTGCTGAAAAATTATTGGGGAAGAAGAAGCTGGTTAAGCATATATGGTCGTCTCATTTAGATTCTCTTCTTTATTGTTTATGTACATGTGTCTAATCATATGCTACTTAATATGACTAGGTACTTGACTGATGCTATGTTCCTGAGAGAAGCAATGAATCAAAGTGTTGATAGTTTGAGTCCATAGTCTCTGCTCACCGGAGAAGAGGTTTTACAGGCTTTATACAGAGAAGAGTTTCAGTAATGATTGCAGCCGCAGACCTATACTCAAATATTGAGATCAAACCTTGCAAACACAGTTCTGACCTGGATTTTATGGATGCTCCTGCTCCTGAAACGAGCCTTTGAAGTTTTAGATTACTTGGGAGGACTGGATGATGTTGAAGGTAACTTGACAAAGACATGTGAGATATTGAGTGAGTGAGTTAGTTCCCCTTGGATCCACAGATGGTGAAGAAGATGCTCATAGTCATTCCTGGATTCAACTGCTCAAAACAAGATTCTCTAAGTTTCAGCCATGCTCTTAGGTACGCCCTTACTTTTGTTTGGTAGTCTTAAACTTGCTACCAATTTCCATTCTTCAACTAGTCTAATGTGCATTAGCCTAAGTACTTAAATGATGCATATATATACTAGTTGCAGCTTCTCAGCTATTCTCTCTCATGAAGCAAATGGTATCAGTCTCATAGTAGTTGCGAATTGCTTTTTTCGGTATAAAGAGGCTCAAAGCAGAGGAAGCTAAAGCTAGGTTTGGACACATTGATGGAAGATCACCTCTCATTGTTTGAACGTCAAGCAAAACAGTAAGTAATTATCCCTTTGTATGTAGCTGCTTTAGACAATTAAAATCTACCGTAACTAACTTGGTCAATGTAAATTTCACAACGATGGAGATGCCAATTGGTGCTATGAAAACAGAGAGAGATGAAATCTGCAGACAATGATAAGAGAGCAGCTAGTTCAGAGATAATGTCAAAGTTCACAACCTGAAGATGTGCAGCATTCATTTTACTACTACATCGACGTAGGCACTAGTCATTACTTGACAACCAAGTATGTCAAGACTTATATCGTTGGACAAGAGAAGCAATCCAAATCAAGGTATTAGCAGGTTTGTAATACTCGTCATCTTTTAATTTGATTTGGAGAATTCATAAATTTGTGTGGTATTATAAAATAAAGATTGACATCTCTGATTCTCATGGGTTAGTTTGGAACATACAGGTGTAACTGCTCCCTCTTGTCTTTGGTTTCAAATTTCAGAACAACCCAAGTCCAGATTCTCAAGACCTCACATCCTTGCAGGTATATACTGTACTTTCTTACTTTCTTACCTTTTTCTTTTTAGTTAAGAATAATCATTTTGATTTAAAGATATACAAAAGTAGATTTTTTTTATGTTTTTTCACTTCTAATTTTTATGATTTAAAAAACTAAATATCAAAGTTTTTACCAAATAATTTTCAAGTAAATAGTTTTAATTTTTAATTTAACCAAAATGTTTTTTTTTTCTTATAAACTAAGTGCTAAATTTAAATACGTTGAAAACAAACCGGACCTAGCATCCAGTCCCTTTGGGGTCCGTCAGTTTGGTGTGAAAGTTCAACATGTTTTCATGTATTGTAAATTTAATGCTTAGCATGTTTTAAGGCTTTATATAAAAAATTTTTATATAAATTTTTTTTATATAAATACATTTATTTTGATATAACCTGACCTAGCATCCAGTCCTTTGAAAGAAACGTAGTCCTCCAAAAAATTAGGTCTTTGAGGTTTTTATACCAACACGTAAAATTATCAACAAATTTTAGAAATGTTGCTTAGAAATTACGGTTTTTTATATAGCAAATGTATATTTTTCAATTAAGTATATATTAAAATGATATAATATCTTAATGTAGCTAAGGGTAGGCTTAAACTTGCTACCAATTTCCATTATGCAACTAGTCTAATGCGCTATAGAACTTAGCTTTATCTTCCATATGTATGATCATCATATAGAATTAAGTATTAGAATTGAGTTATCATGAGCAGTGATGGTAATGAGTATTCTAAGTAAGTAATGATGCAAATAGATAGTAGTTGCAGTTTCTCATGAAGCAAATGGTATCAGTCTCATCGCCTCTATGCATTTGCTGATCTCTTCTGTTATAAGTAAATAGCAATTCTCTTTCTTTAGATGTGCATAATGTCAAGGTTCAACCTAAAGATGTGCAGCAGTACTCATTTCAACATAAGGTAAGGCCATGCCAGCCGGTTATTTCATCCAAGTGCCTCACTTAGAACGCACTGGTCTTTACTTGAAAACCAAGTATGTCATGACAAATTCGGTTTATAGCGTTGGACAAGAGATGCAATCCATAAGATCGAGGAGGTATAGTGAATGAGGTATTAGTAGGTTCGTAATAGTCGTCGTCTTATAATTTGATTTAGAGAATTAATAAATTTGTGTGGTGTTATGAAATAAAGATGACATTTCTGATTCTCATGGGGTTTGTTGTAACAAACAGGTAGCTGCTCTTCGTTTGTGGTTTCAAATTTCAGAACAAGATATCTAGGCATGTCAATCGGGCTAATCGGCCCGGCCTGGCCCAAAACCCGTAAAACTCTCATATATATGAGTCCGATTTGGCCGGTACGAAAAATATCTGAGCCTATATTTCAAAGCCCGGCCCGGCCCAAACATATTATATCACAAATTCTAGTTTTATAATTATTTTTAAAATTGATTATATGTGTATATTAAACGTTTAAATACATGAATATTTTAATATTCTGGTGACCAAAAAAAAAAAATTATTTTCCATATATATTCTTAAAATATTTCCTTTATTTGTTCTTGAAACTAGTGAGATTTTTTGTAATATCTTACCTAACAAAAGTTTATTTTTCAAATTTACGTGATTTGAGAAGATGCCTGACTTGAGGGAGGCATAATATGGAGAGTCTTATCGGATCAATCTCATCTACCACTTTATCGTTTTTGAGGTAATCAGTTTTAATATATCAACTGCAAGTTTTGAATCTCATTTATCGAATCATCTATTAATGATTATTTAAATTTGGTAAAATACAAAACTTACTTTTGTGTAAGAAAGAAAAATACATGTGCTGAGAATACAAAACAGTCGGTTCCTACTCAACTCATAGAGGTAAAATAAAACTTACTTTTGTGCTGAGAATTGTGAATCTAAAAATACATGTTGGATAGAAAGCCCGGTCCAATAGAGGTTGAAGCTAAAATTATGTTGGATATAAAAATATGATCAATAGGGTTTTGTGACCAAGAAAAAAAAGAAGATCAATAGGGTTTTATATTCTGACAATTTGTCTCTGCGATATCTTCGGGAGTTTTAAATTTCCAATAGCTTACACCGGTATTGTTCAGGTATTGTTCATCTTTAGAGTCTTCTAGGGTTTGGTCTCGTTTCTATATCTGTGTACGACGTGGGTCTCAGCATGTTCTAGGGTTTTGTCTCGTTTCTATGTGTGTATGTGGCTGTGTTTCCTCTAATGACCCAATTTGTTTACTTGGCGCTTAAGACAAATCCTTGGACTCTTATGGTATTCTTTTATTGATTTTGCAAGGTATGGACAGAATCAATGGATTGTCTGATGACGTGCTGGTGAAGATATTAACTTTTCTTCCAACAAAAGTTGCTATATCCACTTGTGTTTTGTCTAAGCGATGGAAGTTTCTTTGGATGTGGTTGCAAACACTAGAGTATATGTGTAGAGAGCCTGAATCTAAGGAGTTCATTGACAAGAATCTGCCTTTACATAGAGCTCTCGTCATTGAAAGAGTTTATATCGACGTATCTTCGGACTCAAATATTGAACCTAAAGATTACCAACGTTGGATTAGAATCTTAGTTTCTCGCCATATACGTGTACTGATAATTTATCATTATCTCATTCATGGACGAAACATATTACCGAGTAGCTTGTATACTTGCAATTCGCTCGTCAGCTTGATACTCAAAGGACCAATTCTCTTGAATGTTCCTCGTAGGGTTTGTCTTCCTTCTCTCAAAACTTTGGGACTTGAAGGAGGGACAGACGTCACTAATCGTTTTCTGAAACGGCTTCTATCTAATTGCCCTGTTCTTGAAAATCTTGTAGTGGATAGATTTGGTTGTGACGGTATGAGAAAGTTGACTGTTATCGTCCCGTCTTTGCAGAGATTAACACTCTTTTTAACTAATGATTTAGACGAGTTTGTGTTAAATACTCCTGCCTTGAAGCAATTGAGATTTAGGTTTCATTTTTCCAATTGTCACTTCAGTATGATTGAGAAGATGCCTGAGTTGAGGAAGGCATTAGTAGAGATTAAACGCTTTTCTAATATCGATAGTCTTATCGCATCAATCTCATCTGCCGAGCATCTTTTCATATGCCCACCACTTGAGGTAAATCAGTTTTTATATATCAAGTGCAAGTTTTTTCAATCTCATTATCCAATCATCTGTTAATGATTTTAATTTTTGAATATTGTGATCAAGGCTGTGTATAGTGATGGTTTCGTCTTCAACAAACTTAAACATCTCAAGATATGTGAATGCAAAGCCTATTCGTCGAGTTTCCTTGTCCGGTTGCTCAAAGGTTCTCCTAAGTTACAAGTACTAGAATCCTCCAGAATGCTTGTAAGTTTGTTAGATAAACTCTTGGTTTTTGTTGTTGTTTATTTATGCATGGTTCTTTATCTAATATATTTTGTTTTCTTGATTATCTCAGGGTCATGGACCTGATTTTAAAGATGACAAGAATGACTGGAATCCACCAACTACTGTTCCTCAATGTATATTGTCGAGCCTAGAAATCGTCAAGTGGTTCAGATATTTAGGAAGATCTCAAGAGAGAGATCTTGTGACTTATATCTTGAAAAACGGTCGTCGCTTAAAGGCTGTAACAATCAACTCTAAACCATATTATATGGAAACCCATGACATGTTCAAGGAGTTGGCTCTTTGTGCTCGAGCTTCAACCACATGTAAACTTGTTTTTACTTGAGGGTTTGAATCGTTACATGTATGTTTTTGCTTATTTTAAATTAGATTTTCAAATCACTATTTCAATAACATTAGATTTCATAAAAAAAATTTACGATTCGTAATTCAATAACATAGGATTTGCTGGTTTTACACAAATCACTTAAAATGTAAGATTCAACATTTAAAAAAGAAAAAAAAAATTATAAGAAAGCAAATTGATAAGACAACCAGTTCCAACTGTATGTGATTTGCTAAATTGTGAATCTAAAAATACATGTTGGATATAAAGCCCGGTCCAATAGAGGTTGAAGCTAAAATTATGTTGGATATAAAAATATGATAGTAGGGTTCTTTTATTTTATATTCTGACAATTTTTGTCTTTGCGATATCTTTGGGAGTTTTCGATTTCCAATAGCTTACACCGGACTCCACCACATGTACTGTTCATCTCTCAAAATTTCAGCATGTTCTAGGGTTTTGTCTCTCGTTTCTATCTGTTTACGTGGGACTCAGCATGTTCTAGGGTTTTGAATTGTCTCGTTTCTATGTGTGTATGTGGCTGTGTTTCCTCAAAGTACTACTTCGTTTACTTGGCTTATATAATAAGACAAATCCTTAGACTCTTTATGGTATTCTTTTCTTGATTTTGCAAGGTATGGACAAAATCAATGGATTGTCTGATGACGTGCTGGTGAAGATATTAACGTTTCTTCCAACAAAAGAAGCTATATCCACTTGTGTTTTGTCTAATCGATGGAAGTTTCTTTGGACGTGGATGCCTAAACTAGACTACATTTTTAGAAAGCATGAATGTAACGAATTCATTGATAAGAATCTGCCTTTACATAGAGCTCTCGTCATTGAAAGATTTTGTATCGACGTATCTTGGGACTATATTGAACCTAAAGATATCCAACGGTGGATTAAAATCGTAGTTTAATCCACCGAGTAGCTTGTATACTTGCAAATCGCTCGTCACCTTGAAACTCAAAGGACCTGTTAGTCTCTTGGATGTTCCTCGTATGGCTTGTCTTCCTTCTCTGAAGACTTTGAGACTTGAAGAAGGGACATACTTCACTAACGGTGATCTGGAACGGTTTCTATATAATTGCCCTGTTCTTGAAGAACTACTTGTGGTTAGATATAGTAATGGCCGTATGAGAAAGTTGACAATTATCGTCCCGTCTTTACAGAGATTAACACTTTGTTTAGCTCATGACTTAGACGAGTTTGTGATAAATACTCCTTCTTTGAAATACTTAAGACTTAAAGTATTATATTTCCAGTTGTCGCTCATGTTTGGTTGAGAAGATGCCTGAGTTGAGGGAGGCATTAGTAGACATTAACTTTTCTAATGTCGAGAGTCTTATCGGATCAATCTCATCTGTCGAGCATCTTTCAATATGCCTACCACATGATAGTTCAGAGGTAAATCAGTTTTAATATATCAAGTGCAAGTTTTCAATCTCATTTATTGAATATTTCCTTTGTTATTGTTGAGCAAGGCTGTGTATGGTGATGGTTTCGTCTTCAATAAACTTAAACATCTGAAGATATGTATATGCGAAGCCTATTCGTCGAATTTTCTTGTCCGGTTGCTCAAAGGTTCTCCTAAGTTACAAGTACTAGAAGCCTTCAAAATGCTTGTAAGTTTGTTAGATAAACTCTTAATTTTTGTTGTTATCTAATTTTTTTTTTTGATCATCGCAGGGTCATGGTCATGGATTTGATTTTAAAGATGACAAGAATGACTGGAATCCACCAACTACTGTTCCTGAATGTATATTGTCGAGCCTAGAAATCTTCAAGTGGTCAAGATATTTAGGAAGATCACAAGAGATAGATCTTGCGATTTATATCTTGAAAAAGGGTCGTCACCTAAAGGCTGTAACAATCGACTATCAACCATTTTATATGGAAACACTTGACATGTTAAAGGAGTTGGCCCTTTGTGCCCGAGCTTCAACCACATGTGAACTTGTTTTTACTTGAGGGTTTGTATTGTTACATACATGTTTTTTCTTATTTTAGCTGGATTTTAGTTTCCATATGTATTCTGTTTAATGTCTTCTGACACTCTAAACCTGAGCAGTGCCAAAAAAAAAAAAAAATGTACTCAATGAACGTATCGTATGTATGTCTATGATATGAAACTGTTTTGTTCTCGCTGTATGTATGTATGTGTTCTGCCCAGTTGCTGTGTTTCCTCTAATTACTAATTCGTTTACTTTGTTTAAGACAATTCTTTGAGTCTTATGGTATTGTTTGCTCATTTTTTTTTGTTTCCGTTGCAGTGACATTAACTTGAAATCGTAAGATATGGACGTCAATGGATTGCATGATGATTTGCTCGTGAAGATATTAACGTTTCTTCCAACAACAAAAGAAGCTGATGTATCCACTTGTGTTTTGTCTAAGCGATGCGAGTTTCTTTGGATGTGGATGCCTAAACTCGACTACTATTGTCAAAAGCCTGAATGTGGGGATTTCATTAACAAGAACGTGCCGTTACATAGAGCTCTCGTCATTGGAAGATTTCGTATCTATGTATCTTGGCTATCACATATTGAACCTAAAAGATATCCAAGGGTGGATTAAAATCTTAGTTTCTCGCCATATATGTGAGCTGGAAATTACTTATCATCCCACAGATGAAAACATATTCCCAAGTAGCTTGTATATATACTTGCAAATCGCTCGTGACCTTGAAACCCCGTTACATAAATCTCATGGATGTTCCCTCTATGGCTTGTCTTCCCTCTCTCAAAACTTTGCTACTTGGATATGATGGATGTCTTCAACAGCTTCTATCTCTTTGTCCTGTTCTTAAAGATCTGTCGGTGTTTTTTAATCTACATGAAACACCCAATGAAAGAGTTCAGTATTATCGTCCCGTCTTTGATTATCGTTCCTAGTGATTACAGTCCTCAACTTATTAGAAATCTCTCTACGAGATGTAAGTTTCTTTGATAAACTATTTCTTGTTTCTCTATTTGGTGTGTTAAATCTAACTCTTCTGCTTTTGGTCTTTAATAGTATCATTGGATTGATGATGAGCGTGACGGTATGGTTTGCAGCTGGAATCAACCGATGTCCTGTTCCTAAATGCTTGTTGTCTAGTCTACAAGTTTTCAAGTGGTAGCGATACATTGGTAGACCACAAAAATAGAGATATTGTGGTTTACATCTTGAAAAACGCTTGTCACTTATAGAAGGCAACATTCTTAGCTGGGAAAAGGATAAATTATGATCCACCACTTGATATGATCATCGAGGAGTTGAGACTTTCTCCGCGAGCTTCAAGCACATGCCAACTAAGTATGCTCGCTGAGGACTAGGATCATATTGAGACTTGAATAACATTAGATGTTTTCTTTTGTTTAACAAGCAAACATAATCTTGTATCTGTGGGAGTGGGATCCGCGAACTGGAGATGGGACGAACTTGAGTGGGTTCCTGATTCCCTGTCCGAACTTGCAATAAGACTTGCTAAACGAGAGAGAATTGTTTTAAGCTTTATTCAGTATTTTTCAGTCAAAAATCCGACCTCTTACAGTTAGTTCTTTCCCCCTACTTATACTATTCTAACATACAATTAATGACTAGCGGGCTCCGCTCCGTAAATCACGCTTTCATCATCAAGGCTCCGCTTGACCCGCTGATAGTCCGTTTCGATTCTCTTTTCGAACTCCTGACTCCTTGACAGCATACGCCTAGTGGGCCGGGATCAGCTACTATAATGGGCCTTGGCTAACAGCCCGGTAACGAAGCAGGCCGTTAGCCCGTAATGCCGATTCCGGTACCCACAGTAAGCCCCCCAAGTCTTCCGAAGTGCTCCAGTTCGGGAGACTTTAATGCGGGATAATTAAAGAAACTCCGATTCCCGAGTTCGATATGATTGATTTGTATTTACTCGAGGTTGCCTTTTCGGATTACTGTGCCCCGGTTTTGCCGCTTCGGAATCCCTAGGCCGTCGGCTATAAATGATGCGACCTTCTAGCTTCCCTAGGTAATCATTTGGTCGCAGCCGCCGAGTCTTTATAAAGGTAAAAACTCTTCTCCTTCACTTTGTTTCGCCTTTCGTTTTTCATCTTACTCTTCTCTGTTTACTCTTCGACGATTTCTTCCGCCGTACTCGCTCCTCTGCGCCTCGCCTTTGTTCAATTCCTTGTTTAATCATGTCGCCGCCAAAACAAACTTTGCCGACCGGAGACGCTTCCCTTTCCGGCCAATTCGGCCCGCACCCTAGGTCGACGATCAAAGAAGAAGACCTGGTGCATATTAAGTTCCTCTGTGGCCTCTCGTCGGAGGCGGACCTTATTGCTCCGGGGCCTGATCTATCGCCGGAAGACCCACCCCCCGGGTACTGCTGCGCCTACGAGATCTTTTTCTCGAGGTGCGGCCTATACTTTCCGTTACCGGAACTGTTGGTGAAGGCGATGTTCGCACTCGGCATCACCCTTCCTCAACTGTGCCCCAATTTCGTCCGAACTATCCTCTGCCTCCAGACCCTAGCCGAGGAGCACGGCTACCTTCTAACCTTCCAGGACATCCTCCACCTTTATACAATAAAGAGTGGCCGAACTAGAGGTACCTTCTACCTCAGTCCGCTGGCGGGGTTCCGGGTTTTTGATGACTTCCCGGAAAAGGACGAGCAATACCGAAGTGATTACTTCTTCTTCCTAGTGAACCGGGACACCTTCGGCGATCTACAAGAGCTGCTTGTTCCGCACTGGTCCCAGAAACCTGGTAGAGCTGCGAGGAGATTAGCGAACTATTTGTGATAATCTTAACAGCTCGGGATGCTAACTCGTTTTATGTTTTGTTTGTTGTTTTTTTTTTTTAGCTTCCCTCGACCGCGGGCTGCTGTCTCAAACCTTCGCGGACTACTTTACTACGTTCTGTGGCGCCGAGACCGCTTGGGACTCCTTCACCTGCCCCCGAATTCGAGAGGCCGGTGCCCGTATTCGCACCCGATTTCTTACTGTCTCCTCCCCGCAGTCCGCTCCCCCCAATATGAACTACCGCGAAGAGAGGGCTCATAAGAAAAAGATGGAGCTGAAAGAAAAGGAGCTGAAGAAGAAAATGGTTGCCGCGCTGGCGGATGCCAAGGTGAAGAACTCTTCGAAGGAGAAGTCCTCCAGCTCGGTAGCTCCCCCAGAGGGCGGAGATCGGGAAGTGATTACACTTCCTGATAGCGACGTAAGCACCGAATCTCCTGCCGCCCGTCCGACCCCGGGAGATGGCCAGGCCAGCGAGCCGAAGAAACGGAAGGCCGCCGAACCTGCGCGCCCAGTACGTGCGAGCTCAAGGCTCCGTACCGAGGAGAAGCCCGCTGAGACCCCTGCCTCGAAAGGCTCTTTACCTGCGACCCCGAGTCCTGTTGACCCGAAAGCGACCCCGATGCGCGAACTCCCGGGTAAATTACCTGTTACGAGGCTCTTTGCCTTCTCTTTATCCAAACCACTTCGGTCTAACACTAATGCCCTATTTGCAGCCCCGCCGAAATCCTTAGCCGACATGATGCGGAGCTTCAGCCGACCTGGAGCTCGAGTTCCCGCCTTCAAGGACATGTCCACGAACAACCGGGAGGACTACTTCCGCTTCGCTGAGAAAGTTGGCGAGGTAAGCCTACCCTTTTGTTCCGCTAGTGCCAGTACCTGTTCTTTTTGTAAACGCTTTCTATCCTTGGCAGATGTTGTTCGAATTCAACAGCTCGGTGGCTCATTACGAAGAGCAACTCTTCGTCACCCCCTCAGCCAGCGAGATAGGAGTTCTACAATCCCGGATCTCTGACCTCGAAAAGGAGGTAAAGAAGCTCAGGTCCTCGGAAGCTTCTAACCGCGCTGAAGTGGAGAAGGCGGTTAAGTTCAACAAGAGGCTCAGAACCGTTGAGGGCGACCTGCAGATCGCCGAATCATCCCTGGAGACTTGCCAGGACAAGCTCATATTGGCCGGCGAGCTATACCTAAAGGCGACCACTGCCGAAACGGAGGCGAGGCAAGAGCTTCAGGAGGTCAAACTTCGGAACCAGCTTTTGGAAGCGGGTAACAGCTCCGAGATGGAGAGGGTGAGGAGAGAGGAGCGGAGGAAGACGCGGGCTGAGCTTCGGAGCACGATCGATCAGATCGGGGAACACCTCGTGGAGCACGACCGTATGATTCCCCATGCGATCCGGGCTGCTGAGATCACCGCCAACCGAATGCTGGTGGAGGAGATCGAGAGGGGCGAAATCGCCGATCTGAAGGAGGAACTTGAAACTCTGAAGGCTGACGAACTAGCTGCCAATCTTGAGGCCGAAAAGGTAAAGAATTTATCTTTTGACCCTTCATCCTTCACCGCTTTACTAGCGGACTCTCCCCCCGAACTCGGGCCAGATCCTGCTCCAACCACCCTGATGATTGAGGAACCCGCTACTGACCCTCCTGCTGTTCCGAACCAGGAACTGGAAGCGATCAAACCGGGCCTTAGCAAGGAGGTGCGTGAAATGTCCACCCCCGAGAGTGGTGGAGCTCCCGTAGGTGAAACGGCCGGCCTCTCGTCAGCTCGCTTCGGGGATCACACCGCGGACCCCGAACTCAATTAATTTTCCGCTGGGGTTGTGCTGGTCTTTGACCCCCCTTTTGTTTAAACTTTTCCTTATATTTTTGCTTTTTATTAAGACAATACTTGAGCGTTTTTTTGACCACGGAGGTCACGCTCTTATGCTTTGATTTTCTGCTTAACTTGCTTTAATTTCAACTACTGGTTATTGCTCACTTACTTTGTTTTCAAGACATGGGAACTACTTTATTACCACTTTATTAAAAATGAATATTGCTAGCTGGACTCGACAATGCGAGCTGCCTACGTACCCGACTAGGGATCAAGCGCACCGTAGTTCGGTTACAAATCATAAATGCGTATTTCTTAAAAAGTGTGAAAAAGCTTAAGGTGCAAGGCATTCCACGACCTGGGCACTTGCTTCCCAGTTAGTTCTTCTAAGCGGAAAACCCCGCTACGCACTTCGGAAGTAATTCTATAAGGACCTTCCCAGTTTATGCCGAGTTTCCCGGCGTTAACTTCCTTTGTATTCTCATAAACTTTTCTTAACACAAGGTCACCCACGTTGAGTTCGCGGTTCCTGACCCTTGAGTTATAATACTTCGCGATCGTACTTTGGTAATGTTGTAAACGAACCAGAGCTCGATCGCGCTTTTCATCGATAAAATCTAGGGCATCCCGAAGAGACTCTTCGTTTTCCTCGGGCATCTTGGGATTCAAAGTCACTCGGACTCCTGGCACAGCGAGCTCCGCCGGGACTACTGCCTCCATCCCATATACTAACGAGAAAGGGGTCTCATGCGTCGACCGTCGGGGTGTAGTTCGGATAGCCCATAATACGCCCTGCAGCTCTTCAGCCCATCGCCCTTTATATGAATCCAGCCGTTTTTTCAAATTAGCCAGGATTACTTTATTCATAGCTTCGGCTTGGCCGTTCCCCTGCGGATAACGAGGCGTGGACTTACTTAACCGAATCTTCCAATGAGCGCAAAAAGCTTCGAACTGCTTCGATACGAACTGTGATCCATTATCAGTTACAATCTCGTATGGGAGTCCGTGACGGCAAATCACGTCTCTCCACACGAATTGCTGGACCTGAGTGCTCGTTATAGCGGAGTATGCACCCGCCTCGACCCACTTGGAGAAGTAGTCGGTAAGAACCAGTAAGAACCTTACTCCCCTTGTCGAGCTATGGAGCGGTCCTATTATATCCATCGACCACCTCATGAACGGGTACGGGGCCGAAATCGACGACATAAGCTCCGAAGGTAGGTGAATCGTTGGTGCATGCTTCTGGCATTTTTCACAGTTCTTCACATACTCTTCGCAGTCCGCCTTCATCGTCGGCCAAAAGAAACCATAACGCTTAACCTTGACCACCAGAGTCCGGGCCCCCGAGTGATCCCCGTTAGGTCCTTCATGGATTGCCCGCATTACTATCCTTGGTGATTCGCCGGCGATGCAGGTTAAGTACGGACCTCCGATGCTACGGCGAAGTAGGCCCTCGTTGTGTAGGCAAAATCTGGCTGATATGATCTTGATTTTCCGAGCCTGCCACTTATCCGAGGGGAGCTCACCTCCCTTTAGATAAGCCAGGATAGGAGCTCTCCAGTCCATTCCCAAGCTACCAGTAGGGGACTCCGGCTCTCTTCCAGATTTTTCCCTTCCGGGTTCCTTGCTACAAGGAGTTCGCACCTCGGGGGTTCCGGATAATGCTTCGGACTCCTCCCCACTTTCAGGGAAAGAGAGATCCATAGGGACTGGAGCGTCCCTCCGAACTCTGACGGCCCTGGTTGGGACAACCGGCCTCTCGGGCACCGCCTCTCCCCTATCAAGTCGACGTTGCATCGATCTGGTAAGGACATTTACCTCACTCAAGCAGACGCTGGGACGTTCCAGGACCTCCACAGGGATAATTCGAGTAAACGTAGGGTCCGAAGTTGAAGCGAGGGATGCAAGCGAATCGGCAGCGGAATTCTCGGCCCTCGGAATCTTTACCAGTTCGAAGTGCTCGAACCGTCCGGCTAATTCTTTTGCTGCAGCTAAGTAAGCTTCCATACGCCCGTCCTTAGCCTCGTACTCACCCGAAAACTGACTTGCCACCAACTGTGAATCACAAAAAGCACGGAGCTGTCGGACCCCGATCCCCGCGGCCAACCGGAGCCCAGCTAGCAATGCTTCGTATTCGGCCTCGTTATTCGAGGCGTCAAATGCTAACCTAAACGACTGTTCAATTACTTCGTTAGAGGGTGCGCGGAGTCTTACTCCGACGCCGCTGCCGTGTTTGGACGAGGCTCCATCCACATGGAGGATCCAAGGTCCCTCCACTTCCCCCTCTGCTCCGGCAATGGGTAACTCGACCAGGAAGTCAGCGAGTACTTGAGATTTAGCGGCGGTTCGAGCTCGGAACTCCAGATCGTACTCACTGAGCTCGATTGCCCACTTCGCCATCCTTCCGGACTGGCTTGGGCTATGGAGAATAGTCCTCAAGGGTTGCGAAGTTAGGATCACGACCGTATGGGACTGAAAATACGGCCGAAGTTTCCTGGCCGAGGTAACCACGGCCAGGGCCAACTTTTCCATCATGGGATATCGTGCTTCGGCTCCTGTGAAGGTTTTACTTACGTAAAACACCGGCCTCTGGTTCCCCCTCTCCTCCCGAACCAACACCCCACTAACGGCATGACCCGATACTGCGACATAGAGGAAAAGGGGTTCTCCCAGCTCGGGTTTAGCGAGGACGGGGGGTTCGGACAGATATCGTTTTAGCTGCCCGAACGCCTCCTCGCACTGTTCATCCCACCGGAAGCTCCTATTGCCCTTCCGGAGGAGCTCGAAGAAAGGCATACACTTGTCAGTAGATCTTGAGATGAATCTATTAAGCGCTGCGACCCTTCCATTCAAGCGCTGCACTTCGCGAAGGTTCCGTGGCGACGTCATTGACAAGAAAGCTTTAATTTTCCTTGGGTTTGCCTCTATCCCTCTTTCGGTCACAATGTAGCCTAAGAACTCCCCCGAAGGAACTGCGAATGTGCATTTGGTGGGATTCAACTTCATACCGAACTTATTGAGGATCGCGAAGCAATCCTCGAGATGCCCGACGTGCTGATTGGAGTTCATCGATTTCACCAACATATCGTCAATGTACACTTCCATCGTTTTTCCCAATAGCTCGGCAAACATCCTGTTAACCAAGCGCTGGTAGGTCGCCCCCGCGTTCTTTAACCCAAATGGCATTACTTTGTAGCAAAAGGTTCCCCGATCCGTAATAAAAGACGTCTTTTCTTGGTCGTCGGGGTGCATCATGATTTGATTATAGCCTGAAAAAGCATCCATGAACGTGAGCAGTTCATGCCCCGAGGTGGACTCCACCAGTCGGTCAATATGCGGGAGAGGAAAACTGTCCTTAGGGCACGCCTTATTTAGATCAGTAAAGTCAACGCAAACCCGTGACTTGCCATTTTTCTTCTTGACTACCACCGTGTTCGCCAACCATTCTGGGTACTGGACTTCTCGGATAAGCCCAGCTTCGAGTAACCGGTTCACCTCGGCATTTACCACATCAGCCCGCTCTTTTCCCAACTTCCTACGCTTCTGCCGAACTGGCTTGAAAGCCGGGTCGACGTTGAGCTCGTGCGTTATTACGTTAGTATCGATACCAACCATTTCCTTCACTTCCCATGCGAAGGTTGACTTATTCCGGCGTAAGAAGCTGACCAACTCCTCTTTAACTTCCGGGGACAAACCCGCCCCAATTTTAACCTTCTGCTCGGGGAACAACTCATTTAATTCTATTTCCTCGTAGAGGTCGCCGCTAATCTTGCCCTTCATCGGGTTCTTGGCGCCCCCGAGCTGTGGTTGCTATTGGACCAATAGCTTGTGTCCGGCTAGATAGCAGCTCCGGGCTACGCGTTGACTCCCCAAGATTTCGCGGACTCCGTTCGGCGTTGTAAACTTGACGCACTGGTGGTAGGTAGACGGGACTGCCTTCATTTGGTATAACCACGGGGTTCCTAGAATGGCGTTGTAAGCTGCAGGTCGGTCGAAGACAGTGAACTCTATCATTTTAGACGTTCCTTGCACGGCAACCGGGAGGGTTATGGTCCCCAAAGACATTGAGGTCTCGCTGGTAAATGATACCAGAGGGGCCGGAGGTCCCGTAATATGACTCTTATCGATCCCCATCCTGACGAGTGTATCCAGGAAGATTAGGTCTACCGAGCTCCCTGTATCGACCAATATCCTGCACACTTCGTGGTTCGCTACGTCCAACGTAATGACCAGAGCGTCGTCATGGGGGGAGTCCAGGTCCTCAGTCTCATTCTCAGAAAAAGTTATCTCGGGGTAAACCTCGCATGTTTTCTGCCTCTTCGGACCTGACTCACTCAGTTTCCTCTGGTGATCTTTTATGGCTCTGATGGAGTTCCGGAACATCCTAGACCCCCCCATGATGACGTCAATACGCTTCTTCGTTCCTTGGGGGATCTCTTCGATAAGGGCCTTAGGCTTTTTTGCCGGGGGAAGCTCCTCCTCCTCAGCAGCCATTTCAGCCACGAGCTGGACAGTGTTCTGCGCTTGATCGAGTTCGTCAATTGTTATATCTGGCATCCCCCCGCTAACGAACCTCTCCGCAAGCAGGTGCATTAGTTTTTTGCAGTTCCTGGTGGCATGTCCAGCGACCTTGTGGAGTTCGCAGAAGGAGTCATCGTCCTGCTCTTCTCGGACCCATTTGTTGGTGGGCGAGGCCCCGTTCCTACCTCGCGGCCCGAACTGTGACTTCGATGACCCCCCTTTCGGACCTCCCTTCTGGTGATCCACCGCGAAGGTGCCCGGCCCCGGCCTTTGACCCTGGGAACTCCGCCGGGCTCCTTGATCGAAGCTCGGCTTGGGACTCACCTTGTACTTTTTCGCAAGCGCGGCTTTTTCCTCTTCCGCCACTATCCAGTTCGAGGCCCGATGAAGGGCATCCTGGATATTGGATGGGCGATTAACCGTCAGCTCCTCCCGGAGCCGGGATTCGTGCCACAAACCGTTTTTGAGAGCAGACAAAGCAGCCGAATCGGAGAGTCCTGGGATCTGAACCATTATCTCTTTGAACTTTGTGATATAAGACCGAAGTGAGTCATTCGGTCCCTGACTTAGATTCCACAACTGAGCGTCGGTCACCCCAACTCCTATGAAACTAGAATACTGCTTCACGAATGTCGTGGAGAGCTGGGTAAAGCTATCGATCGTGCCTTCCTGAAGCGAAGCGAACCACAGGAGGGCTGGTCCGACGAACGTTTCAGCGAAGAGCTTGCAATACCCTGCATCCTCCTCGTGAGGCTCGAAATCCACCCTTCCCACCGTAAGGAGGAAAGTATGGAGGTGGACCTTGGGGTCTCCTTTCCCTTCGTAGCTGAGAAACTTGACTTTCCGCGCATCCTTGATACGCATTGTTGAGATTCTAAGCGAGAAAGGAGTTCGCTTTGACTCCTCAATGACCCGGTCGATGTCCGGAGCAGAGCTCGTCGCATGATGGACCTTTGACTGCATGGCCCGGATCTCGTTCTGGAGGAATGAAATTTCGGGGTTGGGCGCAATCACCCCCGCATGCCGAGGTGGAGTGCGGATATGACCAGGCGTGGAGTTCCTACTCGCAGGAGGGGGAGTTTCCCGACCGGAGTCTGAAATGGCCGCCCTCTGCGGGGGCGCCGACATCGACAGACCAGCCTCCCTTGGCTGATCTCCTGCCGAACTCGTAGTGGTTGGGACAGCCGACCGCCCGCTCCCCGGAAGTGCTGTTGGTAGCGTCCCTCCAAAGTCCAACACCCGGGGCCTGCGGGGCGTTGTGCCAACAGATGCTCCCTCCATGAGCGCATCCACCTGAGCCGCGTAGGCATTATGGGCGCTGGAAAGCTCGGAGACGGTTTCGGACAGGGCGGCCACCTGAGCAGTGGACCGCTCTTCGAAACCTCCGAGCTTCTCCGAGAGTGCAGCTGTAGCCGACTGCTGCTGCTCCGTCTTACCAGATAAATCCTGCAGCAACTTTTGAATAAAATTGAGAGTTACCTGGCTGTCATCACCCGACATCTTACTAGGCTGATGATTGGAGGTCGGAAACAAGGGAACGGTGGGTTAGGGAATAAGTGTCCCCACAGACGGCGCCAAAATGTGGGAGTGGGATCCGCGAACTGGAGATGGGACGAACTTGAGTGGGTTCCTGATTCCCTGTCCGAACTTGCAATAAGACTTGCTAAACGAGAGAGAATTGTTTTAAGCTTTATTCAGTATTTTTCAGTCAAAAATCCGACCTCTTACAGTTAGTTCTTTCCCCCTACTTATACTATTCTAACATACAATTAATGACTAGCGGGCTCCGCTCCGTAAATCACGCTTTCATCATCAAGGCTCCGCTTGACCCGCTGATAGTCCGTTTCGATTCTCTTTTCGAACTCCTGACTCCTTGACAGCATACGCCTAGTGGGCCGGGATCAGCTACTATAATGGGCCTTGGCTAACAGCCCGGTAACGAAGCAGGCCGTTAGCCCGTAATGCCGATTCCGGTACCCACAGTATCATCAAAAGTTAAGTCGTTCCCAAGTATCTCCCACTGTCTTCCTCGACGGCGAAATCTACCCATCAAAAACTTTCATTCTGCTACATGCTAATGGCATTAAAAAAATTTTAAAAAGGAAGACCTACTCAACGTACTTAATTTGTATCCATTACTTAAACTAATGTAAATATCAAAAGAGTGAAATACACTACAAACCTGAAAGTACCTTCTCTCCTCCGAGTAGACATTGGAATAATGGTTGCATTTGAAATATATTGTATGGTGGTAAATGTCAATTAATTGTCATTAATTGTTTGTCATTTGGATTTTGAACAGAATATGAAGAGTCGTCTCTAATTTTTTTTTTTTTTTTTTGGGTATAAATTTGTATATTAAAATTGATTTCAGCTCAAAGTTAATAAAAAATAGATACATATTTAAGTGAAACCGAGATATGTAAAAATGACTCAAAAGAGCTGTACCATTTCTGAGTCATGTAAAATTTGTTTTCAAAATCTAGTTAAATGATACTAACATATTTCTAGAAAAGGAAAAAGAAAAAAAAAACATATTTCAAGAAAACCAAAAGAAAAATGTGTTAATTTAGAAAAAATATAATAATAAAAAAAATCAAACAGTCAGGGTGTGAATGGTTACAGCGGCTGGAGCAGACAAAACCATGTATGGACCGAACCGCTTTTTATTTACCATTCACTAATTGTATTTTTAGTAGTGCGGTCTCAAAAAATACCAAAAAAAAACCCGTCTCAATAGTCAATAGAGTTGTTTTACCGCGGTTTGTTGTCCGTCCTAAAAATAGAGTAGACTAAACCGTTGACAGATTTGTCCATCCCGACCACTATAACCATTCACACTCTCATATTTTACACCTGAGAGTACGTTTAAAAAGAAAAAAAAACAATTTCACATTAAACGAGGCCGAAGACGATAAACGGTTCAATGAGTTTGTGAGTCTCGATGAAGTTTTGTCATTTACGAAGCCTTTTATAATATGGAGACGTTTCCGATTCTATTTGCATGCATTCTTTCTTTATAAACCAAATGCTTTCACCCTTCGTTCTTTATTCGTAGACGACTAGAATTCACAGGTCCGTTATTTTTTCTTTCCTGTTTCTGATTTCAACATTACATATTTTTTTTTGTAGGGTTATGTCCTGTGTGTGACTTGTTCTGTGTTTTGTCTTGTTACTAATTCGTTAGCTTGACTCTTTTGGTGTTCTTCTCTTTGTGTTTAACAGTAACTTGGGTTTTGTAAGATATGGACAAGATCAATGAATTGCCTGATGACGTGCTAGTGAAGATATTAACGTTTCTTCCAACAAAAGAAGCTGCATCCACTTGCGTTTTGTCTAAGCGTTGGGAGTTTCTTTGGTTGTGGTTGCCTAAACTTGACTACACTATTCCATTTGCTACGAAGTGGGTTGGTCTTGGTCTTCTGGATTTTATCAACAAAAATCTGCCATGTACGTGAGCTTCATATTTCTTTTCAATTGGTGGACGTAAACATACTTCCGAGTAGCTTTTTTACCTGCAAATCGCTGGTGACATTGAAACTCTTTTTTTTGTGGGTAACATAGATGTTCCCGCTATGGTTTGTTTTCCCTCTTTAAAAACTTTGCACCTTGACGGTGTGTCATTCGTAGATGGGAGATCTCTTCAGGATCTTCTATCTATTTGTCCTGTTCTTGATGATCTATGGGTGGACTTTTATCATTACTTCAATGAGGAAGCTCTTCCGTTAACTATCATCGTCCCGACTTTGCAGAGTTTAACACTCTATATACAGACTTAAAAGGTTTTAGATGCGTATGTGATAGATACTCCATCTTTAAAGTATTTGAAATTTGAAGACTTGAATGATGAGGAACACTACTGTTTACCTAAGAATATGCCTAAGCTGAGGGAAGCATATCTCGATGTTGAACTCCCAATTCTTAAGTGTCTTATTGGATCAATCACATCTGTCAAGCGTCTCACAATATGTTTAGAGGTAATTAATTTCCAAGTTGTTGATCCTATTTCTAGAATTCTCTGTCTACATCACTGATAGTGAGTTATTAACATTTACCACACAACCAAGCTATTAGTCTCACAAAGTTCATGTTTCAGATGGTTAATTATTTGTTTAATATAGTATGATATATGGGGTAACTTTTATTATAAGGTTATAACGCTCAATCTCTCACTTATAGTTTTAAATCATTTAATATATTTTAATAATTTATTTCTATTATAAATCCAATTATGTAGAGCCACGTGACAAATATGTTTCTTAGACTATCTCCGGTATATTTCTCTATTTTTGCATCTAAAATAGAAAAACTCTATAATTGAGATGAGTTTTACTCTAATATGTATTCCTCTAAATAGAGTAATTAATCCATATATATTATATTTTTATTTTAACATTAATACATTTTATTTATAAAATTTCCAAATCAACCCTTTTATAAAACCTTCATAAAATTATGATAATTATAAAAATTTAACTTTTATTATTAAAAAATACATTGCATCATATCCAAACAATTATATAACATACTATGTTTTGATCATTAGGGTTTTTTTCTTTTTTGTGAAACAATCAGTAGGGTTTATGGGGGCATTTTAAACTATTCGCTGTCGCAGAGATTATAAGCTTTATCGTTCCAGTAACAATCGAGCCTGCACTAACATTAACTCAAGGTTAGCTTACAGGTTTTTCTAGGTTTTGTCTTGTTCCATGCATCTTTCAAAAATTTCAGTATTTTCTATGGTTTTTTTCTTCTACCTATGTGCGTGGCTATGTTTTTAATTCGTTTACTTTGCCTATTCAATACAAATCCTATGAGTCTTATAGTGTTGTTATCTTGTGTCTTTTTTCTTTGTCGCTTGAAATTGCAAGATATGGACAAAATCAATGGATTGAGTGATGACGTTCTCGTGAAGATATTAACGTTTCTTCCAACAAACGTTGCTGTATCCACTTGCATTTTGTCTAAGCGATGGGAGTGTCTTTGGATGTGGTTGCCTAAACTTGATTTCTTTTCTTTGTGGCTTAAAAAGAATGGACTTCGTGATTTTATATACAAGAACCTGCCATTACATAGAGCTCATGTCATAGAAAGATTAAGTCTCCACATATATTTTAATCGAGAAATCGAACCTGAAGATATCAAACGGTGGATTGAAATCGCGGTTTCTCGCTATGTACGTGAGCTAGAGATTGATTATTCTCCCAAGAATGAAAACATATTTCCAAGCAACTTCTTTACTTGCAAATCGCTTGTGAGCTTGAAACTCAACCGCGTGACTCTCAAAGACGTTCCTTCTATGGTTTGTCTTCCTTCTCTCAAAACTTTGCAACTTAAACCTGTTGCACCCATAGATGGAAGATGTCTTCAACATATTCTATCTGGTTGTCATGTTCTTGAAGATCTATCTGTGCAGCTTTGGCTTAGTAACAATATGAGAGTGTTCACTTTAACCATCCCGTCTTTGAGGAGTTTATCACTCTTTTTACATAGTAATTTTAGCTTAGATGGGTATGAGATAGATACTCCTTGTTTAGAGTATTTGAAACTTGAAGACTGGACTCAACGGATACACTACTCTTTGATTAAGAATATGCCTAGGCTGAGGGAAGCATATGTCGATGTTCGACCCTTTCAAGAGTGTTTTGGATCAATCACATCTGTCAAGCGTCTCACAATATGTTGTAGAGAGGTAATAAAGTTTACATTTTATGAATTGCAAAATCTTCAATCTAGCTCATTTTTAGAATTGTTTTAATGATAGTATTAATATGTGGGCAGGAGGATCATGTTTATGGTGAAGGTTTTGTTTTCGACCAGCTTGAACATCTTGAGCTATGTGTGCGCAAAAAGGAGGTTTCTTCAAATCTCCTTCGCCAATTTCTCAAAGATTCTCCTAACTTGCGAAAACTAGACTTCTCAGTTTTAAAAGTAAGTTTTTTGAGACAAAACTATTGTTTCCTTGTGATGCACGGTATGGTTTTAATCTAATTTATCTTTTTATAGTTTCGGGAATTTTTGGGATGTTGAGGATGATGAACGTGGTGCTGTTCAACATGAATGCTTGTGGTCGAGTCTACAAATTTTCAACTGGTCAGGATACTTAGGAAGACCAAGACTTGTCTCAAGTCTCAACCATGTTGCTTCAATATGTTGACTTGTTTTTAATTGAGGTTTTGAATCAATAGACTACCAAATTTATGTGTTATGTATATTTTAAAAGATTACATTATATCATGCAAAAGAATATACAAGACATGTTTTAAGGGGAAAGAAGAAAGTGGCAAAAACCAATAAAAACTACTTAAGGTACAAATCTGGATTGGTCACGACTTCCCCAGCTACTATGTGACTGTGACCGATCAAAGAAGTCAGAACTATAATCTTGACTACCAAAAGCCATTCTCTGAAACATTCTTATCTGAGCAGATTGTTGTCTCGAGTCAAACACTTGGCTCTGTCCTGGTCTCATTCCGTTCGTTATGTCCGTTGCTTCTTCAAGTGTGTCTAAAGCTCTCACCACTTGGCTCATCTTTGGTCTTTTTGCAGCTGAGTGGCGGACACATGCAGCCGCAGCTTCTACCATTCTGAACATCTCTCCTGGGATGAAGTTGTTCCCTAGCCTCGGATCTACTAACTCGTCGAATTCTTCGTTTTCGATTGCTTGACTCAACAAGGGTCTTGCCTGATAAAAGTTTTTGCACCAGAGAGGGTTAGAGGACAGTAGTTTAATTCAGAGTTGTGTCTTTCAGACCTTGAATTGGGTAATAGCCAGCAAGAGTGTACGTAAAAGGGTTAATTAAATAGTACTCAAAGTATATCCCAAAAACAAGACATGCAATTTCATTTAACCAATTCACTGAACCATTAGGATCAAACCAAATAGTTTTAACTCTACCTAGTAGTACTTACCCATTCAACAAGGCTCTCATCACCAAGTGGCTGAGACGTATCTACGGGTTTGCGGCCAGTTATAAGCTCCAACAGTATCACCCCATACGAATAAACATCTGCCTTTTCAGATAGCTTTCCACTTGTTGCATATTCAGGAGCCATGTACCTACGAAAAGTTGACAGTTAAAATCGGTTAGTACTTCTCTGTGAGTAGTTCATTTGCACACAAAGAACATTGTAATAAATAGTGCATACACACACACCCAAAGGTTCCCATTACACGTGTTGAGACGTGTGTGTTTAAATCCAGTTCTTGTGCTATTTTAGCAAGCCCAAAATCCGCAACCTGTGAAAAAACTTTCTTTGGTCAGCGAGGCGAAACAAAGACTGTTAATGACTAGAATGAGTTAATATTATGTTACCAAGGCTTCAAAGCTGTTATCTAAAAGTATATTGGATGATTTAATGTCACGGTGAATAATACGGGGATGACCTGCCAAAGAGAGAAGCAGAACATAAGAATGAATCAAAATTAAGATCAGTACCAAAATTAATAAACAGCAGTAAAACTTACAGTCTTCATGTAAGTATGCGATTCCTCGAGCTGCACCAGCAGCGACCCTTACCCGAGTTTCCCAAGTCATAACTGGTCTTCCTGGAGCTGCAAAGACACAGGCATTGAAGTTTATGTAGTTATAAAAAGACATGTTTTTGGTTTAAGAAGATGAGGCAAGTACCATGGAGATGATAATGGAGAGTGTTGTTAGGTACATAATCATATACAAGCAACCTATGTTGCTCCGAGATGCAATAACCAACTAATGTAACCAAATGGCGGTGATGAACCCGAGAAATGATTTCAACTTCTGCTTTGAACTCTCTCTCTCCTTGACTTCCACCAATCTTCAACTGTTTAACTGCCACTTCCCTTCCGTCTGCAAGAACGCCTTTGTATACACAGCCGAACCCTCCCTCACCGAGAAGATTCTTATCGGAGAACCCACTTGTAACTTGAGATAATTCGTCATATGAAAACCATGATCTTTGGTTGCTAACCATGCCTGAATCAGACGACGCATACATGTAATCGCTACCAGAATGGCTTCTCATTTTAGGAGGAGCTGAAGAATGTGTGTTGAAGAGCACTACATCTGTCAACACGACTTTTCAGTTAATAAACAACTCAATAATGTGTTACTCAAATAAGAAAGACAAATCATGGATGTCTTGGTTCATACATTTGATGATTAGCACAGAGACAATCTACGAACCTACACAACTGATCAGAAATAAGAGTCGTTCTCGTCCTATATATGGCATGTATAAAGTAGCTTCTTATGTATTTACATACATGGTTTTATATCCTAGAGTTAAAGTATAAACCACAACACAGTACAGAAAAGACACATAAACCCACATCAGAAGCTAACTACAGTAGAAACATTTGATCTGATGCAGATTGATCAGACATTAAGAAAAATCAGCAGCTAAAACTCAGCGATAGTGTCATGCTTATAAGTTCTGAAACTGATCTATTGACAACACTCAATACACATTGTACAGACAAGACATAGAAACACAGTGTCAGAACTTCTGAAGAAAATAGCATCCAAAACTCAGTGAGTGTTCCATGCTCATTAAGCTTTTAAAACCGTAGTACTCACAACACTCAATACACATTTCTCTCAACAGTTCTCAAACAGTGAATGAACGAATGCACTAAAGTTTCTAACCATATTCTAAATGCAAAAGGATCTTAGATACACAATGCTGTTACAGAACCTGAGGTGTGTTCTTATATGTTATATTACCTGAGCCTTGAGGAGATGAATAAGCAGAAGGAGGCATAGTATATCCAACAAAGGTTCCAGGGTCCTTTCGCTTTCGTTTCCGAGTGAACCACACACCCAACACAAAAAGGCTAAGGAAAACCAATCCCACAATCACTCCAATAGCTGCAATACCACCAGTACCAACTCCACGCGAAGAACCAGTCTGCAAAGTGTTGTTTCCATTGTTTGAAGCTGGTCCAGTTGGTTTAGCAATTGGTTTCTCTCTAGGAACAACAGGTAATGGAGTTGGAGGAGGAGCTAAAGTAGAAGGATCAGTAGGATTTGAAGCTGGAGGAGAAGTAGAGGTAGCTGGAGGAGGAGGAGGAGGAGATGTGGTTGTAGATGGAGTTGAAGGAGAAGGCTTAGGTGGTGAAGGTGTTGTTTCTCCCGGGGGTGAAGGAGAAGGCTTTGGCGGAGGAGTTGTTGTTGTTGGTGGTGCTGGAGGTGAGGGAGAAGCATCAGGAGGTGGAGGAGGTGAGACAGTTTGCGGAGGAGCTGGTGGCGTTGTCGCCGGAGTTGATGGAGGAGGGGATGAAACCACCACAGGAGGTGGAGGGGAAGAAGTAACGGTGGGAGGAGGCGAAGTAACAATAGGAGGTGACGGTGGCGGAGAAGAAGAAGGTGGAGGTGATGATACAACTGGTGGCGGTGGCGATGATGATACTACAGGTGGAGGAGATTGCGGCGGAGAAGGAGGTGGTGTGACCGGAGGTGGAGCAGATGGAGTGGTCGGTAACGGAGGAGGTGCGGTGGTAGAAGAATTTGACGGCGGTGGTGATAAAATCGGTAAAGGAGGAATCAAACTCATTTCTTTTAACGAATCTAAAAAAGCAGTGAACTTTTCTTACTAACACTTTCGTTATCGATCCATTTCAATTCCAAAGATTGAAGCTTTATGAACAAACAAACCAAACCCTAATTCCACAAATCAGATTTCAATTCCCCAATTCTTCTGCAACCTCAAGTCAAACCTACTGAGCAAAAAAGCAACCTAATTTCTAAAAAACTTCAATACCCAGAAGTAAAGATTCAAACTTTAAGCTCAGATGAAACTAAAGGCACAATACAGAGCAGACCCAGATGAACAAAACTGTAGAAAGTTCCAAACTTTGGAGCTTTCACGCGGAAGATTCGAAATTGGAGCAAGAAACAGTTAAAGCAACCAGAAGAAAGAAAGAGAATGTGGTGAAAAGGGAAGAGCGTGAGTCTTGTCTGGACAAACGTGGAGGCAACTCTGTCTCTCTCTCTCTCTTTGGTCAGGGAGATATTTGACAGAGCGATTTACGCCTATGAGATAGTCAGACATGTGCAACAAGAAAGACTACTTTTTTTCTTTTTTTTTGTGTTGTGTCTTTGATCTCATCATCATTATCATTTTTTTTTCGTCTTTTTCTTCATTGACTTGAGCTTTTTTTTGGTTGCAAATCTCAATTACACATCAAATTATTCTCAAATCACAGCCGTATAAAATGCCACGTGAGTAATTATTTTTATACGAAATTTACTGGTATTTTACTATTTTCATAAGGAATAATTTAAAATTTTGGAAAGTAAAAAAGTGTAGGTATGGTGTGGGTGGAAAAAGGAATAAAAAAAGAGATTTTTGTTTTAAAAGTGTTTATGGTAAAATTAAGAAAAGCAATGTGAATGAATGGTGAACACATGTGCACTAATCATGGTGAAACTTTGTGCGCATGTTTGTTCCCTAAATTTGCTCTTTTTTAAATTATTGATTTTTTTTTTATAATTACTAGATTAGTTTACCGACGTGTTACAATGCTAATTATGCTATTAAGTTTGAACTTTAAAGTAGTGTGGGAGGACACTCTTATTTTTTTAGAGAAGAGTCAAATGTTTAAGATTTAGGTTTCAGGCAATTGAGCAAATGCAAATGCTTAGTGCTTAGTTCGTATATTAATAGTTTAGGTGCCAGTTCTAAAATTAGTATTTTCTTCGTTTTAAAATACATGATTTTTTGGCTTTTTTTTTGTTTTTCAAAAATGAATGATTTTCTCAGCTCTATGCACAATTCATTAGATTTTTATTGGTTTTAAAAATTTATATTATATATTCTATTTTTACATTGACGAAATTGTATTAATGTAAATATTAAAAAATGTTAAATAATGTTTTTATTTTTAAAAAAGTAATTTTTTTTAATCTGCGTATTTTTTCAAAAGATTTCTATTTCAAAACGGAGGGAATAGTATAATTAGGGATCGAGAACAAAATAGAACCAAAGATCGGATCGTTTCACTTCATTTTGATGGATGGTCTAGTCTTAACATTATGAAAGACAATTTAATCGAAAATATATATTATGTTAGTTGTGATTAGTAAGGTGTTCTATTTTTTATTTTTGGGGTTAGAGTATAACCGAAAACAAATTCTTCTAGGTCCACCATGTTTGGGGTGATTATTTTCTTTTTGTCATCAAACGACTAATAATTATATGTTCAGAGTAAAATGTTTCTTTAATCACTCTAAAATTAGTATACTCAGAAACATTTGATCGTACTTTTTCATTATAATATAACTTACTAATCACAAACCACTCTTTTTAAAAATCATTGAACATGTTCTCACGGGTAACAAAAAAAAGAAAAAACTTTCATAGGACTGTTAGGACTCTGATCAACTAGTGATATGTGACAAGTTCAAAACTTAAAAGAACCTTAACCCATGCAAAGGTAAGGAAGAATATGATATAGGATATTTTATAAATCAAATTACTTAACCCATGCAAAACTAAGGAGAAGAATTTTTTTTTTTTGTCATCATTACAAATTATACGTCTCTCTTTGAGAGAGATTTGAGAGGGACCGGACTCGAACCCAGATCTGGTGAAAAGGCAACAGAGGTGAGAACCACTAACCCACTTGTCCTTCTCAAGGAGAAGAATTTTTATTTAGCATTTTTTATTAATCAAATTAAGACATAGAAATGTGTAGTTATCTCTTGGAAAAACAAAAAAAAAAATTAGAAAAACTTTTGGCCCATACCTGTCAATTTTTCTATGTCAACAACCAATACCAAAATATAAATTTTAAATTAGCCTATGAATTATATGGCCCTAGGCCCCTAAGCATTGGCTACTCTTGAGTGATATTAGAATATTTGTTTTTTGTCTGTTTAGAACATGTAGTAGAGTAATAAGAGATGGAGAAAGTAAATATGTTGTAGTAATTGAGATATTTTATTGTAGTAGTAGTAGATAGGTTAGATGCTTTGAAAAGAATCTAAATGTCTAAGTCAGTACTAATTAGGATATTATCTTAAAGCATATATTCCATATTTCGTGGATGATAGAAAACAAAATTATGGATGACATGCATAATCGGAAACCGATCATGGTGATTGGTATTTTGAAACTTTGTGCGCATGTTTGTCCCTAATAAATTTGCTCTTTTACTTTGGAATTTTGGATTATATTAACCGAAGTGTTATACGACTATTAAGGTTTTGGAGTAGTGTGGGAAGACACTGATTTAAAGTATACTCAAATAGGTTTGTTTGGTCATCATAAAAAAACAAAGTCTACGCGGTCCATGAGATGTAAGGTCGTTTTTAAATAATCGTTTTTGTTTGTGGAAGACTTCACGTAGTCTTTGTTATCTCTTGTTACAAATTTAATATTTTATCATGCAACTTGCGGCAGCGTCCTATGTAGTTCTGTGTAAATATATGAAAGAAAGACAAGTCCATGGTAGTAGACTTGGGGATCAACACAGAAGCTTGGTCATCTTAATTCAGAGGTCAGCTCTTTTCTCTTCTCCCCCATAAGTAGGATTACTTTTTCTTCGTTCCAATGTTTTCAACCATAAGTAAGATCTTATCAATATCTGTTTTTGTAAAGTTGTAGATTTAGTCTTTAAAGTTGTAGAATTTTAGATATCCCCTTATGTTTTAATTGATAGATGGTAGTAGTTGCGCGTAAATCCGCTTCATCTAAGAAATTTGATCTTCCGCAGCTCGGTTTATGCAATTGGTTGTGTTGGTTCTTCGTTTGACATTATTTTTTTCTGTATTTTGTTAAGATTGATATAGTCAGTTTCAAGATGATCCAAAAGTTGGGAGCAAGAGGAATCAAGTTGAGTGAACGTTCGTGGGATGATGGATCTGATCATGATGATGTAACAAAGATATTCGTACAAGGGAGTCGTCAAGGCATAGCATCCTTGTATATAAACTATGTTAAGAATGGAAAACCGAAAGATGGATCAATCCATGGTTTCTTTGACTATGGTTTAACACAAACGGTATGTTCTAGGACTCGGCTACCTAAGGTGTCTGCGCGGCCAAAATCACATAGACATTTTTGTATTGGCAAAATCTGTCAAAACAAAAGTCAATGTTATTTTGGTCGAGGAATCTAATAATTTAGTTTTTTGTTATTTTTTTATTGGCTTTTAATTTATTTTCAACATACATAATAACTTAGATATATACAATTAAATTTATATAAAATACATGAATGTCTCTGCTGAATTGGTCAGGGTCAGGTGCTAGTCCCATTTTGAGCTTCTGATTGAACAATACTAATTTAAACTGTTTTTAAGTCCATTATTTAGGAATTGACGTTCATCGCCTAGAAGATTAATGTATTGATCATCACAAACTCATTTTTAGGTGAAGTTGATATATAATGCTGACGTTATTGTGGTGTTTTTACTTTCACTAATTTTGCAGTTTGAGATCAACCATTTACAAAACGAACATCTTGAATCTGTTGACGCGTACTACCACATAAAGTCATATGATTTGAAAGCAATTCAATTCAAAACCAATTTCAGGACCTCTGAACTGATGGGGTATACTTATGAGTGTACTATGTTCACGCTAGCAGTCAAAGGAAAGAAGATCATTGGGTTTCATGGATCTGATAGGGTACAGATATTCTCTCTTGGAGCTTACTTCACTTCTATCACCCCTACGAGATTAGAAGCCAAAGGTGGTATGGGTGGCAAGAAGTGGGACGATGGATTCGACCATGAAATCCGTGGGAGGGACATTCATAGACCGAGGAGGGATTACATCGCTGAAATTCAAAACATCCAAAGGGAGAATTTCTCCAACATATGGAAACCTCTCAAATGGAAGTCATACCAAACTTGTGCTCGAGAACAACGGTTGCGCTCTTGTTGGCTTCTATGGATTATCTTATGGATTACTTAGTAATCTTGGAGCATATTTTTCTCCAACACCTCCAACTCCTGCTGGGGAAAAGTTAGAAGCACTAGGTGGCAGTGATATTGGAGGTGCTTCTTGGGAAGATGGGAATAATTTCGATGGTGTGAGAAAGATATATATAGGAAAAGGCGAGGTTTCTATTGTATTCGTCAAGTTTATGTATAGCAAGGATAACAGGGTGGTGCTTGGAGCTGATCATGGTACCAACACATTACATGGAGTTGAAGAGGTGATTATCCTTTGGTTTTGATCCTCAAGTTTCTATTGCATATGTTTTATTTATGAAATTGTGTCCCTGATGGATTCGGATTTTTTCTTGTTTTCAAGTTTGAGCTGGACTATCCAAGTGAATACATCACAACAGTGGAGGGAAATTATGATATAGTACATGGAAGTGATGATCTTAATGTTATACTCATGCTTAGGTTCAAGACTAATAAACGAACCTCTCCAGCTTTTGGATTCGGCAAAATATCAAGCTTTGTTCACCATAAGCAAGGCTACAAGATCGTTGGTTTCCATGGGATATCCGGTAACATGCTTCAACAAATTGGTGTACATGTCCTTCCCATTACTGACGAGGGAGCATCTACATCAAACTGAACTCGATCGAAACATTCTCTACCAAGCTTGATCATACTTCTTTAATAAATCTCCTTATCTTGTACTCGAATACGTTGTTTGTCTTATGTTATTTGGTGTGTCTTTTTAATCTCATTTAATAAGACAAGGTTTCAAAAATACAACTAAGTTCAAATTTATGTTTGACAATAACAATGTTGCAACTACAGATAGTTTGGAGTACTTTGGTTTATCTCTGTGTTCGGTCCAGTTAACCGTTTGAGCTTTGCATTAATTAATAATTAAATAACGACAGTTATATAGTTTAATATCTTAAATGCCAAGCTGTAGTGTATAAGTAAAAAAAAAAAAAGTTACATATATAGTTTAAAAATATATTTTCGTGTAAAGATTAACATGTACGATAATTTAATTAAGTGCTGGATAATAAAATAGTTCATATATTTTACAGTTATTTTTCTTGTAAACTAATTCATAGCAATTCTGAAGTTTCGTATATCTTTTTTTTTAATTTAATGTTAAATTATATTCAAAGAAAAAATATCGTTTTTACAACTAGTGCATCGGGTAACTGAAGTTGATTTGAAAAACTTGTTTAAATAAACTTATTTAAATAAATTTAACGCTGAGAATAAAACAAAAGTTGTAGTCCTTGCTCGTATCGTCTATTACCCATCCGTTGAATGGTTGAGATCTGATTTTGGACTTGTCAATCAATCAACCGAATTAGATGGACTGTATTCTGCTGTGTTTCTCCATGTCGGCCATTTTTCTCTCGCCAAATAGTGTGGGCAGTAGCTTGAAGAACATAGCGTGCAAGAAATCCCTCGATGCAATCCACCTGAGGACTTGAGACAAAAGCAAGTATCTCTTGCCACACATTTGTGTATCGTGCTTTAAAGACTCCGCGTATTGGAAGATATGCATTGAAACCTCAAGATTACGACAGTGTTATTTGGCAGTGAAGGGACCATTTTCATAATAACAAAACATAAATTAAATATGGCTATATCTATATATGGTAACGTGAATATGTCAGCAATTTAGTTGATGGAAAAGAAAAATTTGGACTATACACATACCACCAAGTGCCTCGTACCCCTCCACAGGGACAGCCACGCTAAGTAGACAGTCGTTTTTCATACTCGACAATTTTTATGAATTATTGCATATCTCCCAGTATGGCAACAATGTGAGAGGTTGTTGTAATGTCACTGCCATTGTTGATTTGGGAGACGCTGCGAAGTTGCTAGAAATTCCAGTGAAAACCTTCATCGCTATCGCTGCAACGAGTAAAAGAACAATGTTACACGTCTAGAAAATTATGAAATCTTAAAAGATTAATAAAGAATAAACCCTCTTTATTAATTAGCTTTAGGAAATCACTCAAAACTTATAAAACTCTCAATCTCTCAAAACTCATAATTTATGTCACACATTGACATCTTCTTACATAGAGAAATCATAATCAAAACCCTAGCTAATCTAAATAAGAAAGTATACATGTTTATTAGGGATACAATATCCCATACCGGAAGATGGATAAGGATCCTGACAGTATATAAGATAGAGGGGTCTCTCCACTAATTGCTAGTTGGTTTTAAGTTGGAAGTCTACAATCTAATATAGATAAACTTTTAAACTTCCTATTCTCTTTATTAATTCATATCTCAGTTATCTTATAACTCAAGCTATATATATTCAAGCTTAAACCAACAATACGGGTACGGCCATATATAGATACCCAAACCCTGAGTTCTGGCTCCTGTTCTTACTCGGTCAGCCATCTAAGGAAGAGTTAGTTGGTGTAATTGATAATCTAATTGTTTTTATAGTTACAAAGAAAGGAAAATATCGAAAAAGATTAGTGTGGAGGTTGGCTAGAATCATTGAAAGAAGATACTAAACAGTATAGGGGAAAGATACTAAACAGTAAAGCTGGCTTAAAACAAATACAAATACATGTATAGTAGTTTTGAAACACCGATGTAATATTTTCTTGCAAACTTTTAAAGTCCAAATCATCAGTAACTTTAACAATGATTTAGAGGGTTTATTATAATCTTTCAAATATTATAATTATGGCACGCAACTCAACTTCGTCTTCCATGAAATTTTGAGCGAAACTGAACATTTTTACATACTTACGTAAAAAGAATGTAATTATGCTAAATATGTGTTCGTAAATTAATTTATAAAATTTTGAAGCAAAATCAAAGGTAAAAGTAAATATGTATTATGAGGGAATAAAAGACAATGAAAATAGTTAGGTCAAATGCGACATGGCTTCGGAAACCAAGTCCGTGCCGTTTGATATTTACTCTTACGTATGGATTTATTTTCTTTATTTTCGACTATTATTTGATATTTATATATAATTTCATTTTAATACACACTACTATGGTTCAAAATATTTTGGTGCTATTAAATTTTCTTCTAGTTATATATGTAGTCGAGAAATAGCATCTGCATATTTTATGATATTTATATATATTTAGTATAGTTTAATTAAGGCAAAAGCGAGTGAAAATAGTCGTTGAGCAGAAAAGATAGAGAATAGAAGGCATATACAATCTAAGGATTGATAACCTTCTATATTTTTGTCACATACACTGACAATTATTGAAAACAACAAAAGCAACACTGTGAAAGATGCCAACCCCTTTCACCTCCAAATATACAATACATTTCATGGATATGGTTGTCTAGGCAGTTTCCACTGCATTCATCGAACCCTTGGTGCAGACTGTAGAACATGCCAAGGCACAATTTCCAGCAGCTTTATTCACGATTTCACTTGCATCTAGTTATCGAAACAAAATTTGAAACGTATCATATATATGTTCTCTTGTTTGTTATTTTTTAAGAATTGATAGTATTAGTAATGATAAAGAGTTTCTCGAATGGTTGCTTTACCGGAGGTCTGAAGAGTGGTTAAAGCACTGCACACAGAGGATACACATCCAACCTTGCAGTATTCACTTACAACATCACCTTTAAGACAAAAATCAAAACACAAAAGAAACAATAAAATCTTGAATGATGTTGTAACAAATAACATACTTAATAAAGCACAATATTAATAAATCTACCTGTGTTTTCGAGATTATCCCTAGGAAATCCGTCAGGACATGTACCACTAGTAACGAATGTGCAGCCACTGTTCTTTCTACAGTCTTCCCTGGGAAATTTGAAAAAGCGGCAAGTATTATAGATATTTCTAGCAAAGGTGTTAGGACAGCAGCTCTTTGCATCGACTTGGATTTGTGCCATGAAGAGGCTCATTACGAGCATACTTATAATCAAAGTTTTGCCTTCCATCTTTGGATTGATCAGTTGTTTGATTGCGAAAATGTATATGTGGAGAGTTATAAGCTTGAATTGATGAATTTGTGATGAAACAAGGCTCCCTTAAATACTAGGTTGTCTATAATGGGTAACCACAAACTTTGTTTGATAAGTTTATTACATGCTCTCTAGCTATAGACTGTCTCTCCAAAATCCAAATAGTTTGTTAGAAGTTAGAACGTGCTTTTAGGTGTTTCTATTTTTTTTTTTTTTTTTTTTTTTGGGAATTGGAGATTTGGGACCAAATATAAATGCGTGGTGCGCTAAAATTACCAATAACATGAGACCAAATATAATGCATGTTTTTTTTTTTTTTCACTTGAATAAAATTTATATCTAGGTTTTCTTAGAAAGGAAGCCAAACTACATATTATCGTCATTTGTGTGGATGAAGTGGATGAAGTGCTTTTTTTTTAGAAGGATGGGCGAGAAAAAAGGATTATATTATCGTCATTTGTGTGGGATATAGATTTTTTACAGTTTTTTCTTTTTTATTTCTGTAGATTGATAATCAGTTTTGGCCTCAATCCTAACCTAATAATCATTTTTGGTTTTAGTTTTTTTTTTTCATCCTTACACGTTTAATTTATCATCTGTTCAGCACTTCTTTTTTTAAATTAAACTGTAAAAGAGAAATTTACGTGGCAAAATTATATTGGTAAGAGTACTTGTGTTTTTTAATATCAATTTTGTACATAAAAGTTTATAAACTTGCAGGAAATACACATAGTTCGATACATTATTAGTTGAATAGTGATTATTCCAAAAGCGGTAAAGTTGTATAATACTATAAAATTTTAAAGTTGTAACGTTGATTTTGTTTCAAGACACTCTCTAGTTTCCTCTATTTGTAAAATAGGTATTTTAAAAATATCCTTTTTTTTCTTTAACCAACTCTCTTGTGGTTACAAGAGAGTTGTGTACAAATATCCTCTTCTTTGATCTCTTTGTTGTGTACAAATATAAAAACAAAAGAGCAATTGAAGCTTTATGAAAGTAAAAAACTGTTTACTAACAAAACTTTTGGTAAGTTTTTATTTATTGAAGCTTTATGTAAATCAGCACTTTCATCATCTCAATGATCTCATGTTATTGGTAATTTGTTTCAAATATTTTTAGGCAAATTATTAGGCAACAAGCATTTATTTGGTCCTAACATATGAACAAATCTCCAATACAAAACCAAAGAGTTGGTTAAAAACAAAAATAACACAAAACATGTTCTAACAAATTATTTGGATTTTTGTCCCATAGTTTAATCTCCCTTCTATATCCTATATTTTATAGTCTCTTATAATCTTCCATATGTTACCAACAAACTAAGTATTTCACAATTTTTTTTTTTTTGTTGTGTACAAATAACCAACATAGGTTAGAAATTATAGAAAGCTTGGAAGCTTTAGGGTCTAAGAACAACTTCATCGGTAAATACCCTCACCGTTTCTAAAAATATTTTATTTTAATCATTTTCTTTTAATTATTATTTATTTAAATAATCAAAAAGAAAGAAAAAAAACTAACCTATTGTAAAATAACAGCTGTTGAGAACCGTTTCTCTGGCGTTCTCGTTTGAGAGACGAGTCACAACTTCTCTCCTCCTTTATTACTACTTGATATTTTTTAATTAGTCAGAACCCCTTATCAAAGACTGGCGTTGAGGTTGCTCTAAGGTCCAAGAGAAACCGTGGTTGATGGATCCGGCCATAATAATGTTACAACTATATGTATGTCGCATTTACTGATGAAATTGTAAGTGATGCAGCTAAATTATTCAATTATTTTTTCTTTTTAGTTAATTTATTATAGTTATTCTAAAATATTATAATTTTTAGAATTAATGTTTTATTATAAATAGCCTCTTAGGCCTTCTATTGTATTCAGTTATTGATGAACTGATTAATCGCAAGATTTTAAAAAGGTTTTTATAAACCATTGTGAAAAGTATTTATAAGCTCAAGAGCTTTTGCGAAGAATTTAAATGAAGACTCTCAAACCCTAGATTTCAGGTATTCTAAGAAATCAACGGATCTGTAGTTCTATCCTTAAAAGCTTCTGCTACTTTTAAAAGCTTATGCTACTTCAGTTGGTAGTGGCAGCACATCATCTTCTCACATTGTTGATATATCAAGCTTTGTTCACCATAAGGAAGGCTACAAGATCGTTGTATTACATGGAATGTCCGGCAATATGCTTCAACAAATTGGTGTCCAAGTCCTACCCATTACAAACGAAGCATCTACATGAAACGATACATTCTTCACCAAGCTAGAGCATACTCGAATATGTTTTTATCTTACGTTATTTGATGTATCTTTCTTAATCTCATTTAATAAGACCATGTTTATAAAATACAACTAAGCTCCAATTTATTTTTGACAACAACAATGTTCCAACTACATATACTTTGGAGTAGGGATGGGCATCACTTTGGTTTGTCTCTGTGTTCAGTCCGGTTAACCGTTTGAACTTTGCATTAATAATTTTAAAAACAGTTACAGTATATAGTTTCATATCTCATTTTTCCCAAAAAAAAAAAGTTTCATATCTCAAATGCCACAAACCAAAAAAAATCTGTAATATATCAAACCGGTATAGGCTATTGGAGCTAAACAACAAGAGGAACCTTGGACAAAGACTCTCGTGTCATCTCTTCGCTGAATCATAAATCTATCAAATTGCCTTGTAAATACTTGTCGTAAGAGGTAAGGTCGTACGTAGTGGCCATGTCCACACATAGCATTTTAGTATCACTTTTGCTTCTCCTGTTTCTTTGCATCGGAGACTCTCTCTTATGATTGTAGCAGTGGCATGAGTCGGTTCGAACGCCGGTATTAATTATCTTTTCTGTTCTTGCAAACTAAATACCACCAGCAACAAAATTAGACCGGAAAGTTGATATTACAGTCCAATGAAAATACAACATGTAAGTTAACTAAAAGCTAATTGAGGTGTTGAGAGTTTTGAAGAGTCGCGATGAACCACCTTGGAAACATTCGATTTGAGGAATTAACATTGCTTCCACATATCATGAACATGTGAATCATTGGTGCCTTTCCATGGTACCGTGATCCTCCTGTTGAAAAACCATTGACGAAACACAACAAATTAGCTGAAAGAAACAAAAAAAAAAGGAAATCAAGAATCAAGAACATCGAATTCAAGAACTCAAGAAATCAAGAATCAAGAAACCAGAAGTAAGAAGTCTGAGAAGCCTTAAAATGTGTTTCTCTTAGGTTTAAAACTTACTTGTTTTGGTTCGATCCTCCACCTGCAAAATGGTTAAATTAAATTTTTATTTTGGCCTTTTTTTTATGTTTTGCTTGTAGCCCTGAAAATATCAACGACGGCCCAAAAGCTTATTATTTACAGGCGTGGATAGAACCAGGAATGAAGTCATGCCCTAAAGTATGCCGTATCGCCGAAATCATAAGCGTAAACCCTTTTGACATATGTTTAGCAAACAATGTATAATTTGTGAGATATATGTTTTTTGGAAAAAAAATAAACAGTATCGTCAATGCAACATTTTGATATATGTCTACTTAAATGGCAAAAATTTCATATTAGCAAATAATTGGATTGGTTAAATTTTATACTACTCTGTTTCCGGTCTCATATTTTGGATATATTGATATCTTAATTTATTATATGTTTATATATATATAGAGAAATTCCATAAGATACCATCTTTTAAGTTTTTTTATTCCAAAATACCACAATTTTTTTATTTTTCCAAAAATATAATAAAAGTTTAATTTTTGCAAAAATACCACAAACATCAAAAATTGAATTTTGAAAGTGTAAAATTTTCCCTTTTTTATGTTTGAGTTGACTATTTATATTTAGGGTATAGTTTTAAGTGGTAGGGTTGACTATTTATATTTAGTGTGTAGGATTTAGAAAATAGTTTTGAATATTTAGAAAACAACTCATCGTCACTTTCAGTAAAGTTATTGATTTTTTGTTAAAAGATAAATGGAGCAATTATTTAGATCACACGATAAACAAAACTTCAATGCGTATTGGAAGATATGCGTTGAAACCTCAACATTATGACAGTGTTATTTGGCAGTGAAGGGACCATTTTCATAATAACAAAACATAAATTAAATATGGCTATATCTATATATGGTAACGTGAATATATCAGCAATTAGATGGGAAAGACAAATTTGGACAGTGCACATACCACCAAGTGCTGCGTACCCCTTCACAGGGACAGCCACGCTAAGTGGACAGTCCTTTTCCATACTTACGATTTTTATGGTATCCTTTGCCATGGATAACATATAGCATATATTGCCTTTTTTCCCGGTATGGCAACAATGTGCATAGAGTTTATAAGGCGTGATGTGATGAACGATATCGAAGAACGAAGCCGCCATCATTGATTTTGGAGACTCTGCGAGGCCGCTAGCTAGAAATTTCAGTGCCAACCTTCATCGCTGTCGCTGCAACGAGTAAATGAACATGTTACACGTCTAGAATATTAAGAAACCTTGAAAGATTAATAAAGAATAATCTCTCTTTATAAGCTTTAGGAAATCACTCAAAACTAAAAAGGGTGTATTCAAAATGGAATTTTAAGAGATTTGAGTTTTATTGAGTTTTAAATGATTTTGATGATTTTAGGAAAGTTCATATGACTTTTGTAAAATCTTTTCAAATCTCACCAAAAACCATGGGATTCGGATTTCTATATTTTTAACTAAGGAAATCCTCCCAAATCCTCTGAAATCCTTCAAAATCATTAAAAGCCAAATCCACAAATTGTTTTCAATAAAAGTGGATTTTAAGGCGGATTTTGAAATCATTAGTTGAATAACAGTGGATTTCATGAGACTTTTTTAAATTCATGTTTGAATAACAGTGGATTTATAAGTTCTACACAAATCTCTTAAAATTCTATTTTGAATACACCCTCCTAAAGCTCTCAATTTCTCAAAACTCATATTTTATGGCTGGTTGCTGCTTTAGAGTCTTTCCACATCCATATTTTTTCCAGAGTTACAAATCCACAGCAATCAAACTTTATAAATTTTGTATTTCCTTTTTTGATTCACAGCCAAAATATTTCCTTAATTATTTTGGCTGTTCAAAGCCATTTTTCCTAAAAAAAGCAAATTTTCAGCTTTCCAAAAAATTAATTCCTATAGCCAAAATACTACAGCAATGAAATCTACAGCTACAGCTCAAAATATATAGCCAAAAATCCAAAGTTACAGTTGTAACCAATCAAGGCCTATGTCACACATTAGCATTTCCTTATGTAGAGAAATCATTACCGAAACCCTAATCCAAATAGGTAACTCTTAAACTTCCTATTCTTTTTACTAAACCATATCTCTGTTAGTTTATAACTCAAGCTATCTATTAATGCTTAAACCAACAATACGCGTACGGCTATAGATACCCGAACCCTGAGTTCTCGCTCCCGTGCTTACTCGGTCAGCCATCTAAGGAAGAGTTAGTTGGTGTAATTGATTAGAAGTTGTATAAACGATATTTTCCATAAGGGGTAAGGTGAGAGAGATGGTCTCTAATTTCAAAGAACGCAGAATATCGAAAAAGATCAGTGTGGGGGTTGGGGCTTGATGACCCATTAGGAAGATACTAAACAGTATAGTTTCTAATTACAATGTGTTTGTTGGAAGTTTCTAGTTATAACTAACTCTCTTGTGGTTGTGTGGGAGTCTCCAGTTTAGGTACTTTGGATATTTTGTTAAAATGAGTGGATAGATCAAGAGGGGACAACTCAAGAATTTTAGTAATGTTATTTGACTTTTGTCGACAAGAAAAATGTAGAGCAAATATTATTTAGATCACACAATAAAAAGAACTTCAATGCGAATTGGATTTATGCATCAGAGAACCTCTCGGCATTGATTATGTCAGTATTAGTATTTGGCAGAGAAGGGGACCATTCTCAAAATATGAATACATGGACTGAATGTTTGGTAAAAATAAAATCAATGTGCAATCTTTATATCTCTCTTGCCACCTGCATGGAGGCATTCATTTTGGGAAAATTTAAGATTTGTATTACTGATTCATATTTCTAATTTATTAGTCTCAAATTTGTCAATACATACATAACGGTTCATCAATATTATTCTATTACATCTTCTTAGAACCATTTCATTCAATTGGTATAGATGATGCAAATGTTTGGGGGAAACAAAACAACTTAGAGGGTGTTATTAGATTCTACTATAAAAGGAATTTTAACAATTTTAATTAAATCATAGAAAGTAAATAAATTAAAGAATTTAAATGACTATGAGAGTGTAATCTATAATTTTTTTTTATAAGTTTTTTTTTCATAATCTTGTAAAGTCTCTCAAACAATCTTTATTTTGTTGATATTTTTCATGAATTTATTTGTGAAGAAAAGTGTTTATACTTAATGTAAAAATATATATACAATCATAATCCAATAACATAATAATTTAATTCGTTAACAGTTTGAGATTATTTTTTAGTTGAATAACACACAATTCTTAATGATTTTATAAAATCCTAAATCCGATAACTTGATATTTATGAAGATGTTAGATGAGTGTTTACAAATTAATAACTAATAACACCAAACTTTAATAGAGTTTAATTAAATCTTGATTGAATAGTAATAAACTCTATATAACATTTACAATCATAAAAACACTATTTAAATGACAAACTAATAACATTCAAATTTGGACTTTACACAAAATACATTAAGTGCTGCATACCCTACAAAGACAGGCTAAGTTTGTCTTCCATACTCATATTGTTATCACCATTTTTGGGAATTACTGTTTATGATCTTTTTTATAGATATTTTTCATACATAACTAATTTTGTATTTCATATTGTACTTGCTAAAGAAGGTGAGTACACACTTTTATCCATCTTTCATCAATCGGCTGGTCATCTTTACAAGATCTGAATAGTTAGTAAGAAAAATTAAATAATGTTTCTCATCACTAATATCAACATTATTGGGAGCATCTTAGAATTGAAAATGGGTATCTTAGCACAGTGATTTGTATTTTATATAAAATGGGTATAAACAATGTGCTAAGATACCCATTTTCAATTCTAAGATGCTCCCAATAATGTTGAGCCTTTTAACTATTCACTAGCGTTTTTTTAAAAGGTACCTTAAACAAAATAAATTTTTAAAAAATATAAAATAAAAAAGAGAAAGAAGAGGTACTAAAAAGAGAACCTTTAGAAGCGGTACTAAAAACGGTAAAATGATTCCTAGCTACATAAAATATCCGTCAACACATGGCCACACATGCAAACAATATAATTGTCTCGTTAATTACATGAATCTATTTTCATTACATAAAAACATACATAAACAAACATAAGTTATGTGTACAACACCATAGAGTAAATTTTTGTCATCAAAACACGCTGATTTTGGTCCACACGATCAATGTTAATAACATTTACGTGAAAAAACTTTATAAGATTAATGAAATTTACACTTTGTGCTATATACTCACTCCGTGAGATATATTATTGTTTGGTTTATACAAAACGTGAATAGAGGGGTTTAATTTGAATTAAGAAAAAAAAAATGTTGAAGATAATAATAGATACGTACTTCTATATAAGTGAAAGAAAGAGAGCATCACATAAAATATAAGTCCCCTAATAAGTATAACAAGAGAGTATACAATAGTACTTTTCTTATGATTGTACGCTGAATGAGCTATAGGGACTCAAGTAAGATTGAGGAGAAGTGGTACGTGAAGAGATCCCATTGGTTCAACACTGTGCAAACAAAGAAATGGGGAGGATGACTTGGTTCGACGATGAGGGGATGAAGAAAGGAGAGTGGACGGATGATGAAGACAGGAAGCTCGCCGCGTACGTCAAAGAACACGGTTCCGGCCACTGGGGTTCGTTGGCTAAGAAAGCTGGTAGTAGTCTACTCTACTAATTACACCATGACTATGCATATTCCAAGTTTCTGTCGTATTAAAAAGAATGAATAATTTGCGTTTTAGTACGTTTTCGAAACTTAATTTGCACAGTGTATATCATATTTTGAAGAGGTTTTTATTGTAACAAACAGGTCTGAAAAGATGTGGAAGGAGTTGTAGATTAAGGTGGATGAATTATTTGAGCCCTGATATTAAAAGAGGCAAGTTCTCTCCTCATGAGGAACAACAAATCTTCAAGTTCCATGCTCTTATTGGAAACAGGTAAATCATAGATATGCATCTTTATACTAATTATATGCATCTTTATACTAATAATGTTACATATATAATAATCATAAGGTGGGCAGTAATAGCTAAGCATATTCCGAACCGAACAGACCATGACATCAAGAACTATTGGAACTCGCGTCTTAAGAAAAGACTCGCTAAAGAAAGAATCAAACCAGCGACGACTCATGAGCCAGCAGCTATCATCACCGTCGAAGCCACCTCCACCTCAACTACGTCGCCTTCTCCGACACTTAGCACTACTTCTTCTTCTTTTTGCCCCACTGGCTCTGCACGTCTACTTAACAAGCTTGCTACTGGTATCGCCTCGAGAAAATACAGACTCGACAAGATCAAGATGGTGATATTACAACCAAGAAAAGCAAGTGGTAAAGAGAAGATGTTGATAACCATGGAAGAGGAGGATTTGATTGCTTGTTTCATGGACATTGATGAGAGGCTGATGAGTACGACGCCGTTTTGTGAGGGTTCTACTGCTACGACGACCAGCTTAGTGGCTTTTGATGACTGCTCGATAGTTTGACACTAGTATCCCAAAGTAACACCAGACGAATTTGCGCAATTATTTATCAAAGGTTTCATATATGATAACATGCGGACTATTGTTGGAGAAGCTAAGTATGATTCACGACGATTCCAATAGTAAATAAGCATATAAATATTCATTTTCATTACTATTAGAACCTTTTTTACTTTTCTCGTGATTGTCCTGAAGTTACCATTTAAAGCCTAAAAGTAGTAGAAAAATGATGTTCTCATTTTTTGTATGATAATTTTATTTTTCTCATTTTTCTTTTCATTTTTGTTTTACATCAAAACTCCATATATCAAGTTATCGGAAATAACATGTAAAAGTTTATTCAATCATTACATGTTTTATGAATCTCGCATATAAATGGTTTTAGAAGCTAACCATCGAAAAAACTTACTTTATAAAGTGAATGGTTTACCAACTATTTTTATATCACTTATTGTAGTTTTTAAAATGAATGGTCCGTAATTTTCATAGTGTCCAAGAAAAACTAGGTGAAAATCCCTAGCCAAATAGAACGATTAGAGTTTTGCAGGGAATCGATCCCTGGCCTAAACCAACATGTCAACTCTTTTTCTCAAGTGGAAATCACTAAACCAATACCACTTGGTTATAATGTGTATTATAAATTGGTATGATACCTTCTGGTGGTCAGTGAGATACCTTATGATGGTTAGACAGAAGGTGAAAGAACCCAAAGTGGATAATGAGGTAAGCTATGTTTATGCAAAGATTGAAAGATTGTGTGAGATTGAAAAATTTATATATTCTGATGCCTACCGTTGCTAACCTTCAAATTTTTTGGTGACCGCTTGTATGATAAGCTATGTATGAGGCTGCAAAGATAATTAATGCATTCATATCGAATTGGGCCAACTTAGCTGTCACATTTATTTGTGAAGTTGCAACAGTTCCAAGGAATTTGGACCCAATGTATTATTCGAATTGAAACTCAAAACAAAAGAGTTGGTTTAGAATTAAGCAAAGAAACACAACAACAGGTCTAACAAACTATTTGGATTTTTATGTCATATTTTAATTTTCCAGCATCTAGTTTATAATAAGGATTAATTGGGTTTTTATTACATTTTTGAAACATAATTGTAGGAGTAGTACATTTACTATTCATTATTAGCAAACTAATACATTTTTACTATTTGGACACTATTTAGACACTATTAAAAACCCTCTTAAATCTAATAACTAAAAATATTCATCAAAATATATTTGTTTTCTATAAAATTTCAATTACACAAAAATCTGTATTTTTTTCTCTATAATTTGATATGCATTTTTTAAAAAATAATTTCATATATTTTTCAAACAAATTTTGATACGTCTAGCTATCCTTATGTACAGTTGTGTGTCGATGTACGGAAAATCATCCGTACAGCGGTCTATATATACGTATAATTGTACGTGTATAAATATATTCTGGTCTATTTATGTATATTTGTTTATGTGTAAATATGTTTATATGTAGTTGTTTCTCTTTGTACAAATATTTGATGTACAATAATATGTTACTGTACAGTTGTTTGTCTGTACAGATATCTGAAATAGTAAAATTGTACTATTTTGCTAATTGTGAATAGTAAATGTACTATCTTTATAATTATGTTTCAAAAACGTACTACTTTGCCAACACACCCATAATAATCACATTATTATTACAACCAGCTACGAGAGAAAGTTGTTTAAAAAAAATAAAGAAGAAACACAAAACTCGACCACTGAGAGGTGAATATGAGCTTTTGTCTCTGTAGCACAAAACTCGACCCAAGAAAAACACACTTCAACGTGATGAAAAATACTTGGAACTAAACAACATGAGGAACTTTGGACAAAGACTCTCGTATCTTCTCTTCGCTGAATGATAAATCTATCAATTCGCCTTGTAAATACTTGTCGTAAGAGGTAAGGTCGAAGTGGCCATGTCCACACATAGCCATTAGTATCACTTTTGCTTCTCCTGTTTCTTTGCATCGGAGAGCTTCTCTTATGGTTGCGGCAATGGCATGAGTCGGTTCGGGCGCTGGTATTATACCTTCTGTTCTTGCAAACTGAATAGCACCTGCAAGATAATTAAGTTGATATTAAATTCCAATGCAAAATACAAAATGTAAAGTAAACTAAAAGCTAATTGAGGTGTTGGTGAGATTAGGCGAAGAACCACCTTGGAAACACTCTATTTGAGGAATTGATATTGCTTCCATGAAACCTTGTTCATAAACATGTGAAATCAAGGGTGCCATCCCATGGTACCGCAGTCCACCTTTCAGAAAAAACATAGATAAACACAACAGATTAGTCGAAAGGAAAACCAGGAAATCAAGAATCAAGAAACAAGAATCAAGAATCAAGAATCAAGAATCAAGAAAAAAGAAGCAAGAACTCAAGAAATCAAGAACTCAAGAAATCAAGAATCAAGAACCAAGAACCAAGAATTCAAGAAATCAAGACACAAGAAACAAGAAACAAGAAGCAAGATGTCTGAGAAGCCTTGAAGTTTGTGTCTCTTGGGTTTGAAACTTACTTATTGGCAATAAATAAGAAAAACAAAACGAAAAAAGAAAAAAAATGAGGAAACCAAGAAATCAAGTATCCAAAGGCCACAGAACTCTTCACATTTAGGTGTGGTTAATTAAGATCTTGAGGTTAAAGCTTAGTTAATTTACCTGCGTGGATAGGATCAGGAATGAAGTCATGTCCTAAAGTATGCATCTTCATCAAAGGAGTTAGTCCAGCCGTATCGCCGAAATCATAAGCGTAAACCCCTTTGGTCAAGGAAGGACAAGCCGAAGGCTCAACCGCTCTGATAACAGGATTCATCTTGCCTTTGAGTTTCTCCCGGATAAAAGGAAAACTCAAACCAGCAAAATTCGATCCTCCACCAGTACACCCGATGATAATATCAGGCGTTTCGCCAAAATTCTCCATTTGTTGAATGCATTCTTCTCCAATAATTGTTTGGTGTAACAACACATGGTTCAGTACACTCCCTAGACAGTATTTTGTATCCTCTTTTCTTGCAGCAACTTCAACAGCTTCTGAAATCGCAATGCCTAAACTTCCCGGACTTGAAGGATCTAATTCGAGGATTCTTCTACCCGCCTCAGTGAGATCAGATGGTGATGGATGAACCTTTGCACCCCAAGTTTGCATCATTAACCGGCGATATGGCTTTTGGTGATACGAGTTGGCAACTTGCCATACCTATAAATGTTGGAATAGTGTAAGAGAAACAGAGCAATTTTCAAACAGAGCAATTATCAAGATCTTACTGGAAGAATCTTATCTCTAAATGCTTACTTCACAGTCAAGGCCAAACAGACTAGAAGCAAATGCTAAAGAACTTCCCCATTGGCCAGCGCCGGTTTCTGTCACAACGTTCTTGACACCTTCTTTCGCATTGTAATAAGCTTGCGGAACTGCTGTGTTGGGTTTGTGAGAACCAGCTGGGCTACCACCTTCATATTTGAAGTAAATCCTTGCAGGTGTTTGAAGAAGCTTCTCCAATCTCTTTGCTCTAAAACCAAACCAAGAACAAGTTATTCATATGGACTAACCAAGATACTTCAGCCAAGATAATAAATTTGAGACTCTGGATTAAAAAGAACCATTCAACTAAGCAACACAATCCAATGATCTTAAGACCATGAAATGCTATTTCTCCTAGTTCTAAATACAACCGTTTGAAAATTAAAAAAACCATTGAGAAATGAGGAAATCAAGAAATCAAGAACCATTAAACTAAGCAAGATGCTTTCAACTCTCCCAAAGATCCAAGGCTCCAACACAACACAATGATCTTAAGACCCTAATACTATTTCTCCTAGTCCTAAAATACAAACGTAAATAGACAAAAAGCCTTGTACTATTCCAAAGAAAGAGAACCTGATTAGAGGAGTTGGACGCCAAAGCTTATAGATTTCAAGAACTTCCTCAGGGATATCAATAAACCTCTCTTGAGTTGCTTCTTGTTTAATTAACTCATTAGGGAAAAGATGAGCCAAATCTTCAGGTTTGATCGGTTCAAAAGTCTTTGGATGCAACGGTGGAGGAGGCTTGACTGAAAGATCAGCAACAAGATTGTACCATTGTTTTGGAATCTCAACGACTGATTTGTTGGTATCAGATCTCAAAGCTGCTTTAGCTCTTAAGCTAAACCCATTTGAAACCCTTGTTTCTTGCTTCCATCTTCTTTTAAGAGTTACATCATTCAATCCTTGACAATCACCTAATCAAATCAAAAACACAATCTCAAGAACATCAAACATTGAAACATTCAATAAAAAGAAGCAAGATATCAAAAGTGAACTTACCAGTAAAGAAAACTTTAGGTGATGAGACTGATTTGGTGAATGAGTTTGGAGGCAAAAGCAATTGAGAGGCCATTTCTTATGTTATCTTTTTTTATCAGTTTCAAAGATATGACTTAAGGGTTTTATGAGATGGTATCAAAGATATTATAGTTTAAAGCTTTGAAGACTATAGAGTGACAGAGAGAGATCGGTGAAGCATTTAAAATAGTATACTCCAAGGAAAGACTTCCCGGTACCCAACGTGACATCTAACCATTTTAATTCAAATTTGTTTTGTCTTTCTTTCTTTACTTCTTTTTTTTTTTTTGGTTTTATTGGACCACTTCGATTTAATTACGTTTTTTTTTTTTGGGCAAATCACTATTGCATGCTTTCTAGTTTCTACATAAACAAATTAGGAATTATCACATTTAACATGAGAAAGAGAGAAAAAAAACTAATAAATCTAAATGAAATTGGTAATTTATTCAAGTTTATGTTCCTTACACAAAAACAAAGTATGTAACATGACTTTATTTATAACCATGTGATTAAGGAGGCAAGAGTTTGACTTCTTTTTTTTTTGTATTCAATTATTGTAGTTAAAGCATTATCTCCACTGTCTCAAGCTCTATATTGTACCAAAAAAAAAAAATTATTTATTAGGTAAATTCTAATAAATGCATGGACTAACCTTACATAAGATATTATCTAAATTTCGTTTAAAAACAACGTTATTTTGACACATTTCATACAAATTAACAAAAAAACCGTACATCTTTATTTAATACTAATGATTAGTGACTTAAACATACGTACAAAAAAAAATTTGGATTAAATGGTAAAGTATAATATGATACAATGTTACTTTGTAAATATTCAACAACATGGAAAAACCATAAAATTGTTTGTTTTAATATCAAATTCATCAAACCAACCTCAATAAACCTCCATAAACTAATCACATCATATATACTCTTAATTACGTCTTAACCCTATTATAAATTCAATTCATTATGTTGGTGTATTGTATCATGAATGTCCTTTAATTTGTAATGATTCAACAACCAAAAAAAACTAGTAGATGTGTGTGTCCACAAATATCTTCTAGCTATCAGCTCGTAGTGTATCTCTTACTTACCAAGACAAGTATAAATTGTCGAGGACCATGCCATTTACTCAGTTTCTAGTTTCTACATAAGTACAATTACATAAGTATCCTTCTACCAAACAATATCTTCCGGTCTATAAACAAACACATGAACTCTATAACAACATCACATTCCAGTTCACACCTAGCTACTCTATACTTCAATGACATTGAGATTTTGACTAAACATAAAAGCCTATTTTGCTAACCTTGCTTTCATATTATATATGTTTAGCCAATTTTAGTAATGTACCTACACGCCTACTTATTCAGATTGTCTGATTTTAGTTATGTAATAAAACTGTACTTAGTTCTAAAAAAACTCTTACAAACCTCTACGATTTGCTCACAATCTTGGTACATTCAGAAACAACGAAATGTGTCAAGAAATAACTAATCTGTGTGCTTTACAGTTTATCAAATACCATTTTGATGCAGTCTTTTTTGCCAAAAAAGTTGCACATACGTAAACAATAAATCTGTTATACATTTATAAACAAGTGTACACCGCCAAGCAAATCAAAACTAGGTTGACGAGAGTTGAGCCAACCATGGAAGGAGACGCTCGTGGACAAGATCGGGGCGATCATCTTGAGGGCAATGTCCAACGCCTTGTAGAACATAGAGGTTGAAGTTAGGTAACTGATCAGGAAGAGAAGTGAAGTACTTTGCTACAGGACCGTCCAAAGGGGTTAGTCCATCTTGGTCTCCCCATAAGACAAGAACCGGTTTGGATATTTCCGGGATCAGCTTAATTGGGTTTGGTCCAGGCGGACCGGTTAAGATTGAAACAAATGCATCTAGCGCTCCTTCAGTATTTGCTGGTCCAGCAATGATCTGACATAACATTTTCACATATAAGTAAACAAAACTTTCATTGCTTCTTTGTCACTGAGACTCTGAGAGTGAGCAATAGGACAAATACCTCAACAAGGGTATCATCTACATTCTCCTTGTTACCATAAACATTTGTCAAGATGTTCTTGAGATTTTCCCTGCGTTAGAGCTCTCAATAAGATCCTTTCAAAGTCAAGAAAAGAAGACATATTTGTAACTCGGTAATGAAGTGAAGTATTATGACATACTTGTCTTTAACACGATTGAAGAGTGCAGAAGCAATTCCTCTTTGCTTAAGTAAAAAGTCTATAAGCAAGAGTAAAGGCATCAGCAGCTTGATTCTCCAGTCATCAAACACGGCTTTATTGTTCATACCACCAGCACAGTTCAATAGAACAAGACCTTTCACCAGATCTTGTTGTGATTCTGTTTTTGTTTTCCCATAATGTCACACCCACTCAAATCTCAGTATAACGTACAAGTGATAAATTTGATATAGATGATCAATCAATAGCAAAAAATCTATGCACTTCTGCACTTTGTGAAACCATAGATGCATCACAAAGCCTAAGCCATTTCTATCTCATGTGACAGTTCAAGGAAATGAAAAACATAGAAACTTAAGACTCATGCTAGTGAATAGTGATGTCTTTAATTCAAACACAAGCTCTTGTACCTGAGGCAGCGATGACACAAGCAAGGCTTCCAACAGAGTTACCAATCAAAATCGTTGGTTTCTGAACCACTTCTTCCAAGAAGTTAAGTATCAACTGCAACAAAATAAAATCAATCAACCAAAAAAAAACCAAAAACACTTCTTTGAATGTCAAGAGTATGTCACAAGGTAGGTTATATATATACTTCAGCCCATGACTCCATTGTATAGCTAAAACCAGGTGGCTTGTCTGAAGCACCAAACCCAAGTAGATCAATCGCATACACTGTATGGTTCTTAGACAGAGCATTTATGTTCCTGAAAAGACAATAAAGTTTTGTTTTTTACTTGTAAAATCAAATGCAAATAGACACAAAGATCACTTAGTTTGATACCTTCGCCAATGAGGAATCGAAGCACCAAACCCATGAACCAAAAGAACAGTTTGACTCGCCGGAGTAACTTCCTCCGGCGAATCTTTAACAAAGTAGTTAACGGAATATTCTCCTTTCCATTTCCATTTCTTGCTTCTCTCTCCTATCTCTACCAACTCTACTGCTTCCACTACTCCTCCGCTTGAAACCGCCGCGCTTGAAGACGCAGTGGCTTTAATACAGAAGCGATCTCTCCGGAGGCTAAGCCGTCTTAAGGTAACCGTAGAAGTCGTCGTCGTCCGAGATACCACCGTTGACGGCGGAGCTAACCCCGTCCATGTTAGAGCTCTCATCGTTTTTATCTCTCTGAAGTCGCTCTCTCTCTGTTTGGTTTCTTCAGTTATCGTTTCTAGAGAGAGATTAATCTTACGTGGCTCTCTTTCTTCCAATCAAAAGATTATTTCCGGTTTAGGTAATTTCGGTATAAACCGGTTAAACAGGTGTTTTGATTAAACCGAGTGGTTCAGTTTTGGGGACGGTGGAGGAGATGACCATGAGAATCAGTAACAGCCACTCGTTGGGTTTAAGGAACTAACGGAAAGTCCACGTGGCGTTTTACATATGGTTTACGAAGATTACAGAGGATATTGGGAAATGTATTTTTATTTATTCTTTCTTTTTAACAAAATTTTATATAAATTTTAAAAAATTAGACTGGTTGGAAATGAATTGAAGATTTCAGTTTTATTCTCTGAATCGATTACGAATAAATAAAATTTAGACTGGTTGGACTTAGTTTGGTGATTTTTATAGACTTTGGTTTTTTTGTAAAAAAAAACTTTCAAAATTATTTATAAAAACACAAATTTACATATGATGTTTGGATTTATTAAATTCCAGTTTTTGTTAAGATATTTTTTTTTGTTACGAAAACATTACCTCAAATGTTTTGTTTTCGAAATGGAAAAATGGTAACTTTGAAAGAATGTTGAGAAAATGGAAATATGAAAAATAAATGAAAAAATGATTTCTTAGAAAATAATATATCAATTCTCTCACTATATAAATAAAAACAAGTTAACACCTCCCATTTATAGAAATATCACCTCCTAGATGTAAACTGTTTTACTAAATTCTCCCATATAAAAGGTTTTCAATAAGTAAATATCGGTCCAAAAATAATCAACGAAAAAATTATCTTGCCCAATTTTATGAATTGTTGCACATATGATTTGATAAAATAGGAAAAAAATGTTTTATTTGATAAGTACTCTTCAAAGATCGTAAATAAATTATAAAAACCAAAAAAAAATCATATAAATAATATGTTGTTATATTATTATGTTTTTCTCTTTTTTTGGGCAAGCATATGTAACAATTTATCATCAACATTTTCTTTTTTGTTGTTTTGTTGATTTTTGGGATCAATTATCATCAGAAAAAATCAAAATTTAAATATATATATATATATATATATATATATATTTATGAAAAATTTAAAAAAAAAAGACAAACCAAATGGTCAATTCTTGAGTTGTACTTGTGACTTGTGAGTCAGTAATGCTCAAGAATAAAACTATATCTTTGTGTGTCAACTTGATAAAAATATCTAAAGTGACACAATTTGAACCATTAAATAAAAATATTGTCTTTTGGTTAGGTTCTGTTCCTAAACGTAATTTTCACAAGACACTGCTTGCTTCGTTACACGAACTCTCAAAATTTTCCTAATCCTCGCAACCACAAATCTTCAATCTTTTAAGATAGGATCAGGTTCTGAGTTCAACAAAGGTAAAGCTTTTCACTTTTTTTCTCCAATTCTGATACTTTTCAGTTGTGTTCGATTCTCCTTTCTTTAGAAGTCTGAAGGAAACGGTGAGGAAGAAGACAATTTCTCACTTGAAAGAGTTGGTTTTGATACTTGTTTTTGTTTAGCTGTTGGGTTCTTGAAAAAAGTTATGCCCTTTTGTTGTTTGATTAAATGCCCCAATGAGATTATCCTGATTCTGATCTCTGTCTGTTCTGTTTCGGTGGTGCAATGGTTTTAATCCCAAATAGGTTATGTGATTATCTTAAGCCTAACCCAAAGTTTCGATTTTTCAAGCTTGTTAGTTAGGTTCATCTCTAAAGTTTGTGTTTTATCAAAATTGTTCACATGTTTTTGTGAAAACCTGATTTGGGTTTTGGTGATATATGATGATGACATGTTGCTCTGAAATGGACAGGACCTGGAAGATGGCAATGTTTCCTCTTCACCATGAAGTCCCCTGTAAAGGAGAAGTATTGTTTGATTCAAATGGTTTAAGACGTTTTTCGTCTGGTGGCAGTAGTAATGGTTTGAAACATAGAACAATAGCTGAGGCAACCACGCTTGGCAGGGATTGTAGGATGAAGAGTTGTAAAAAACCAATCCCGTTTTGCAATCCACTTAGAGGAAAATTATGTTTGGTTAGGGCGTCATCAGAGAGCAAGGTTACCAAAAAGAGGATTCAATTGTTGGATTCTTACTTTGGGAAGCTTCAAAACGAGGATGAGAAGCCTTCTGTTTCAACGGGAGATGATATTGATAAGAAAGTCGAACTCAATGTGGATGAAGAGTTGGATTTGTTGAGTGTTTATCTTGGCAAACTCCAGAAAGGTATAATACAATATTCTTGAATTTGGTGTCTTGTTGCTTGATCTTTCTGGTGTTCCTTCTTTTGTTAATGCTTACTAATTTGACTCTCAGATGCAAAATCTAAAGGTTTAGTCCCGTCTACCTTGGACGTAGTCAAATCAGAAGGCGGTTCAGTAGCAAGCAAATTGAGGAAGACTGGTATCGAAAGTAATAATAATCCTTTTCAGCAGCTTGATGATGATGATCAGTCAGAAGATACATTGAACTTCTATGCTGTGTAAAAACTCTTCAGTCACCTCTGGTTTTTCTTAGTTGCAATGCCATGCGGGTTCTTCTTGATGCTTAAATATCTTCTGTTCTTGTTTTCATTAAAATTGCAGGAGCATATTAGCATCCATAAATGTCGGAGTGTGTCTGTTTGAAGCGGCTGCACCAGTTAGGAATAACGATATGGGACTGCTATCGCTCCCGTTGTTATATGGAGCAAAGATAAATGATCTAATCATGGCTGGAGAATGGTGGAGGCTGGTCACACCAATGTTTCTGGTACAAGACCAACAAATTGGGTCTGTTCTTCCATTCTTTACTGTTTCAAAAACACACTTTACCAAAACAACTGGAGATTTTCAAAAAGCTGACAGCTTTATTTTCAAAGTTATAACTATATCTTGCTTTTCGCCTCATGTCGCTGCATCTTTTTGTATACCACATTTAGTACCCTTGATGACTTGGATTCATGTAATTTTCCCTTGTTTGTCTTTGAATCACTTTCATTTTACATCTGCAGCACTCTGGAATTCCTCATGTAGCCCTTAGCTCCTGGGCTCTGCTTACTTTTGGACCAAAAGTCTGCCGTGACTATGGACTATTCACATTTGGTCTCATTTACATTCTTGGAGGAGTCTCTGGTAATTTCATGAGCTTTCTGCATACACCAGATCCTACAGTTGGAGGAACTGTAAGTTAACTAGCTAGTTTGTCCCATGTGATGTTACCAAATTGCACTATCTGTTACTGTTCTTAATCGTCTTCGCATATATGGTTCGGTGCAGGGACCAGCATTTGCTCTAATAGGAGCTTGGCTTGTTGACCAAAATCAGAACAAGGAGATGATCAAAAGCGATGAATATGAGGACTTGTTTCAGAAGGCCATTATTATGACAGGATTTGGTCTCATATTAAGCCATTTCGGTCCAATTGATGACTGGTAAGCTTTTAGCATCCATCAATATTTCTTCAGATAGTTGTTTCTTGTTCAGCATTTTTCGATCTTTGTTTTGATAAGTAGTATGATCAATGGATCATAAACAGGATTCATAGAATCCAAACCACTAAACTCGTTCTTTATTTAGTCGACTAAAGATCGACAACATAGACTAGAATTTCTTATCCAAAGAATCTCTAAACCAACTTAATCTCCCCACCATTTCTCCAACTCTCCTTTACAACCTTCAGCTCTGAACTCACCCCTAAGTAAGATTTTTTATATGAGCTGGCGAAGCTGCAGCACACTGAGGGCCTGAGGCTAGTAACTATATTCTTGCGCCAAACTTAAGCAAGAACATCTTATTACGGGTTGTATGTTTTGCTTCTAACATATGAGTCGTGACAGGACAAATCTGGGAGCACTTATAGCCGGGATTGTGTATGGATTCTTCACTTGTCCGGTGTTTCAACTTGGAAGAGGAAGTGAAAGACAAGAAGGGACTGTGACTGTTGGACCAGAGAAAGAGAAGAATGCTGATCCGTGTAAATCGTTTCTGGTTTTCACAATCTTTATCGCGGTTCTTGTGACTTCTGTGCTACTCCTTGGAGACGGACCACTGGACTTCCCAACGTATGATGATGTTGTCTATTCTCTCATTTAGTGTTATCATCAAGAAATAAAAACTATATAAGGAGACGTATGTGTGTGTGTTCTTTGGTAAACGAGGAGAGTTCTTTGGTTTGTGGTAAAGCAAATTGAGAAAACTTGTATATTGTGTTTCCTCTCACACTTTGGTTTTTTATAAATCCAAGTTTTGTTGGTTTCTCTTTCACTTGTAAAGATTATTAACTCTTTGAGACTCCACTCTTTTTGACCAAAACGGTTTATGACCGCCTAGGTTTGAATCCGGAATTTCACCTTAATTGAAAGGAAATTTACAACCGCGGAAGTTTGAATCCGGAAATTTAGTCAGTGTGTTACAACGGATTGTTTTGTAAGAAATGAATTTGTACATATTTAATTTTTTGCTTTGAGACAAAAAAAAAAATTTAAAAAAAAAAAAAAAACGAAGCTAAAAGAAACTGGGTTAGTTAAATATTGGTACACAAATAAACTGAAAACAAAAAAAAAGAGATCAATAATTTCATATTTAGTTCTCTCTCCACAATAGAGACAAAGTCACTAGATGGTCCCTAACTCTATTTAACATAAACAAAAAATAGGTTTTATTAATATAAGAAAGACTAGATGATGTGGACAATATCTGATGATACGTAAGTTGCATTTAATAAAAGCGTTCGATAACTTATTTTTAAACATGTTAAATAATTTGTTATCGTGATAAAATACATATTATCTATCAAATTAATACTAATATTATTCATCACTGATGACATAATTCGATGATACTGTTTATCAGTGATTAATAGCATTCGATAACTTATTTTTAACCATGTTAAATAATCTGTTATCACGGTAATTTACATATTATCCGTTAATTTAATATTTATTGCTAACTAATCGATAATATTATCGATAACTTATAATTTGTAGCATAACATATGGTTAACTATAAATAATTTAACTAGATTACTATAAATTTATCAAATAAATTATAACGTATAGCAGTAACATATGATTTACATAGTTAATAAAATAAATAACCACAGATGTTATAGTTGATATTATAACCTATTCATTTTGATAAATTATTCAGAGTTGGGGAGAAGGAGCATCACGACGTCACCGTGGTGGATCCCAAGCCGATGCATTCCGGACAGCGATCCTTCTTGTATTGGTTTGTACATCGACGTAGGTTATGATACGTCCGGTAGTCACCGTCTCCGTCGCCGAAAATTTATGAGAGACCTAATCGGTGAGAGGGATGTGATAAGAGATGAAGATATCATGGAGCTTAGATCAAAACTATGAGAAGGTTTTTCTTTTTCTTCTATTTCTTGATCTGTCTTGTTTGTGAGAAAATGCGTTTATTGTTGGAACACCATTTGTGTAGAGATCTAATTCTTCCTTCTTTTTATTTTGTTTGTGATAAAATTTCTTTACAAAACAAAATGAAACTGGATTAATGGAGAGAGAGAAGTTGAATGATGGAGAGAGAGAAAAGACACAAGCGGTGGTGTGTAAAGTTTCGGTGGATAACATATTTTTTTAAGTTGAAAATAGGGTTAAAACAGTCAAGGAAAATGATAACTAAATAACAGTTTATGGAGTACAGATATTTAATTTTTTGTTTATTTAGGTACATCTAGCGTAGTTTCCCAAAGAAACTTCCTAAATTGTTTTCTCTGCTCACTCTTGGGAAAAAGGAAATTACCAATATGTAGGGACTAAACCGTAATTATAACATAGCCCTATTCACCCGTATTAACGAAATGTAACTTGTGCACAACGGCTATAGTTATTTACTAATCACAATAATTAAAACTCAAAATCAAGAAAAATGGAAAAAACACAAAAAGCCCTAACCCCTAATGTAAATATATATGGCAAGACCAAGGCACTCTTGTTTCTCAGTTTCGCTGAGTTTCTCTTATAATATATTCTTGGTCCTCACGTCTTTGTTCACTTTTCAGAACTTTTGTGTTTTCCTTTCGATCACAATGACTATGTATCACGATTACGATCATCTCATGGATTCAGGTAAAGATATGTGGTCTGATTTTTGTTTACTTGTGGATGCTGCGGTTATGATCGAAGAAGAAGAACACCAACAACGTCTTCGTCTTCTTGAAAAGAAACGAGAAGAAGAAGAAGAGTCGTCCAAGAGGTTCTTCTATGTGTTCCCGAGGAAACCTAGGTCTTCTTTGGTGAAGAGAAGGTACACACAACAACAAAACCCTAATGGGGTTTCTTCAACGACGTCTACTTCATCGCTTACTGATTACGAAACGAGAAGAAACACTACACGAAACCCTAGTTTTGATGAGCGTATGGTGTATGACGCAGAAGTACGTGCGAAGAAGGGGAAATCTAAGATTGTGTGTGAAGATTATGACTATGGAGAGAGTGATGAGGAGAAGAGACTCTTTGAGAAGAACATGAAGAGGTTTGTAAGAAACCTACGACGAAACTTTGGTAATAATCTTGATGGGTCTTCTTCGACGTCTTCCTCGTTCTTGAACCTTCGTTTTTATGAGCCTTCGTTACTCCTAGGTTACAACACGACTAATGAGACGAAAGAACTACCAAACCCTTGTTACCAATCTTCGTCTCCATCTTCATGTGTAACGGAGAACACAAGTCGCAAGAGGCGTGCTGTGCAAGAGAGGAAGAGTGGTAAATTCAAGAAAGCAAAGGTTGCTTTTTCCCCAAGGAGGATGGATACAGAGGCACCGGATTGGATCTTTCAGGTGATGAGAAGAATGAAAGCTGATGACGAAAGGCCGATGCTGATCTTTCAAAGAGGTCTAACCGCGAGTGATGTGACATCAGGCCAGAGCCGTCTCTTAATCCCATTCCAGCAGCTAATCAGAAACGACTTCTTGACGCCAGGGGAGAGTCAAGCAATGGAGAAAGACGAAAACAACGAAATCGAAGACGAGAATATCGGTGTGGGAACGATTCTTGTGAACCAAAGATGTGAAAAGTGGGGATTACGTTTCAAGATATGGGCGATGGAGAAGGACACTGGTCATGGAACATTGAATTATGCTTTGAACTGGGGGTGGAACGATGTCGTCAAGGGTAACCACTTAAAAGCCAAGGACAAGATCAGTCTTTGGACTTTCAGGTGGCGTGGAGTACTCTGCTTTGCCCTTGAGAGATACTAAGCTCTTCTCTGGTCACAATGTATCAATGTTTATGTCTCTGGTTGATCTAAAGGTTACCTTCGTCTGCACAGCCATCAAACATGAGGTTATGGTCTGGTAAATTCTATTATTAATATAACTTGTCTGACTCCTCTGTTGTCTCAAATCTTTTACCAATGTTTGAAGTGAAACTCTTTGTCATGAATATGGTTTCTTGTTTTGTTTACTTTAGTTATTGCATTGATTCAATTACCTTTGGTTTCTTGTAATATTATCTCAAAGCTTAATGTGATGCAAATGATCGATTCTCCTAAAATGCTCGATACAATACAGTATCAGTGTTGTTGTCTACTCAGTGAGAATAAAATTAAGAAAATTGCAGTAATTGAAAAAAGCAAGTTTTGATTTCATTAAATGGAGAACATGAGCTTTTAAAGGAACCTAAAGGAGAAAACAATCGCAAGTAGAGTTTTTCAAATTGTTTCCCCAAACAAACAAACAACAATAAAAACAGTGTCCTTATAAGAATCCTGAGCTATCTCTCACTCAGATTATCACATGAAAGTTTCTACTTTTATAAAGTGACTTCCACTTCTTCGGGTTTACTCAGCGCCATCAGGCTTTGATGCTGCCTCCTTGATCTCATCTCCTGCTTCGTCCTAATGATCAGAAGGAAACAATTATGTCAGTTACAGAACTAAGAAGCACTTAAGAGCATATTGCCATCTAAAGTGCCTAAGTTGAAGTTGTTTTAAGGAAAATAGTGAACAATGATCAATGTAGATATTTTGTTGATGCTTACTGTCATATCTGAAGTCCAGAGAGTGAGATTGTCTCTAAGAAGCTGCATGATAAGTGTGCTGTCCTTGTATGATTCCTCACCCAAGGTATCCAATTCAGCGATAGCATCGTCAAATGCCTGCACAATCCCAAAAGAGATCATATAGTGAGATTATATTTAACAATTTCACATGAAGAAGTGAAATCAGGAGTACACAAACCTGCTTTGCGAGGCTGCAAGCACGGTCAGGCGAGTTCAGGATTTCGTAGTAAAACACAGAGAAGTTGAGGGCAAGACCAAGTCTTATTGGGTGAGTGGGAGCTAACTCAGCAGTGGCAATGTCCTGCGTTAATACCAAGAATGTAAAACAGCAAAGTCAAATATAGCCACACAAGAAAATTACATTCAAAACTGTTGTAATGAAGTAAAGAATTCACTTACCGAAGCAGACTTGTAAGCAACCAAAGTGCTTTCAGCAGCTTCTTTCCTCTCAGCACCAGCCTTAAACTCAGCAAGATACCTATGGTAATCTCCCTTCATTTTAAGGTAAAACACTTTGGATTCAGCTGGTGAAGCAGATGGAATAAGATGAGCTTCAAGAACATTCAAGATCCCATCACAGATTTTGCTAAGCTCAGTTTCAATCTTTCCCCTGTAATCCTTGATAATGGCAACATGATCTTCATTCCCTTTGCTCTCTTCTTTCTGCTCAATCGAAGAAATGATCCTCCATGAAGCTCTTCTTGCTCCAATCACGTTCTTGTATGCAACAGAGAGAAGATTCCTCTCTTCAACTGAGAGTTCTTCAGCATCAACAGTTTTTGCAACTTTCTCCATGAATTCAACCATTTCTTCGTAACGCTCGGCTTGTTCAGCTAATTTCGCCATGTAAACATTCTCTTCCCTTGTTGATTCAGTCGACATCTTCGAATTAACAATCTAAAACAAATCCTACAAAATCATGAAACAATTGAATCAAACCAGAACTTCAATTAACATCTAAACACTCATTAACTTAACCAAGTTCTAACCCGAATAAATCTAAGATTCAAGAAGTAAAACCAACAAAAGCAGAAACAACTTCACACAGTAACCCAAATTCACATCTACACACTCATCCACTTCATCAAAGCTCTTCACAAATCAAGAATCTAAAGCAAAGCAAATACCAAATAAACCAGAAAAAAAAAACTAAACGAAACAAAGACCCAAATTAACATATACATACTCATCCTCAATAGTAAACTCTTCACAGATTAAAAACATAGAGCAAATTCTAAAGGCATAAACAATGTAATCAAACCAGAATCCAAATCCAGAACAAATTCGATAAAGCAAAAAAACAAAAAAAATAGAATCAAAACAATAACCCAAATCAACATCTACACACTCATCTACTTAACCACGTTCTTCACAGATCAAGAACACACACGAAATCTTCATCGATTCCGAATCTAGATCAAATCCTTCAACGCAAAAACTCAATTGAATTAAACTAAAACCAGAATCAAGATCTACTACTGCAAATCGTTCAAAATCAGAAACTACTGAATCAAAACCAAAACCCAAAACACTAATCGAATTAAGTACGAACACTGAATCAGTGATACCTCAACGAAACGATCAGATCAATCTCTAGAATCATCAGATCTACACAAACCAAGAACAAGAACGAAACAAAGATCTGAGAGCGAGAGAGAGATCTACCTTTTTTTTTTTTGCGATTGAAGATCTGATTCGAAATGCTTCAAGTGGTTTCAAAAAATTGGAATAAGGAAGAGACTGAATCTGATACAATCGAAAGTGGAATAATAAATAAAACTGTTTTCGAGGCGTAGAGTTAAGAGATCCAGTGAGAGGTTGACAAGTGTCGGATGCTGAAGATGACCGATTCGATGAATCTGACACGTGTTTAGCCATGCTAGTGGTAAGATCTGTTTTATTGAACTCATATATAAATGGGCCAATGGGCCTAATGGGTATTACTATTTTGAAACAGCGACTCTTCTTCTTCTCTCACTTTAGTTTCACTTCTCAGTTCTCTCACACATGACATAACTACGTTTTATTCTTTCACATAACTACGTTTAAATCCCCATAACGAATTTTTTTAAACTAAAATGTTTATATTGTATATTATATTTAGTAATTTTTTTTGTTTTATGTAGTATTTAAGATTATATAATTGTATTTTCATTGTTAATTTTATGATTTAACCATTGAAATCATACATTAGAGTTTAGTCCTCTATAGTAAAATAGCTAAATTTCTCTCTGAACTCCAAATTTTGCTCATAATTCAGAATTTTGGGTTCAAAACCCGGTAGCGGAAATCTTTTGTTGAAATTTTGTTTTAATCTAATCTGAATTCATAGTTTAACAAACAGTCCGCTGTAGCACAATGGCTAAATTTCTCTTTGAAATCAAAATTTCACATTGAAAACAGAATTCCGGGTTCAAAGCCCGGCAGCGGAAATCTTTTGTTTTATTATTTAAAAATAAAATAAATTAAATTAATGTATATAACTAATCTGAATTCATAGTTTAACAAACAGTTCGTTGTGGCACAATAGTTAAATTTCTCTTTGAAATCAAAATTTCATATTGAAAACAGAATACCGGGTTCAAAGTCCGGCAGCAGATATCTTTTGCTGAAATTTTGTACTGTTTTTTTTTTGGTTATAGTTTTGTTTTCCGTTTCACAAAGAATATAAAGTTTCTTATCTTTGGTTCCAATATAACAAATCGATTGCTGCGGAAGTAATGATTTATTGCGATCAAATCCCTATCTAAATTCCCCAAACACTGTGTTTTTTCCATCAAGATCATGTCCTCCAAAATCATTGTGTTGTGCTAAATCATTGTGTTGTGCTAAATCGAGAGGAATCACCATCTAAATTCAGATGAGTCCCTGTAGCACCAAAATTTGCTAATAATGGTGCAACTGAGACCAAAAGAGAAGATTCAATGCCTTCTAGGAAAATGCAAAGAGAAGAACATCTTCAAACCAGATAAACTATGATAGTTTTAAATGTAACATAAACACATCAACTCCCATGAACATAAACATGAAACTGTCAAATGGCATTGGAGAAGAGATTATCATATTTCAAAAGAAGAAAAAAGAAAAGAAAAAAAGAAAAGACGAAAAAAGAAACAGAAAGATGGGTCTCTGAGTTTAGGAAGGAAGAGGGAAGGGATTTGTTTTGTTTCTTCATCCATCATTGGTCTTCAAACTCGTGCATGTGATCTAGAAGGTAGTTAGCTGCAAGTTCTTCATTCTTGTTACACGCAAAGAACACCTCTAAGACCATCGCACGATCAAACCCCATGGCTTCGAGCTGTTCCCCAAAACAAACAATAACAAAATCACAGTTCAGTACACAGCGCCATATATTTTGATTAACAAGTACAGATGCAGATGCAAAGATCAGAGGAACAAACCCGTTCAATGGCTTCACGCTCTTCAGGTGTAACGGTTACAGCTTGTGGCATTGCTGCTTCCAACTGTTCCATAACATTCCTGGCGGCATTGGTGAGATAATGAAATGTCAGCTTAAAGGCTTTACTAAACAAAAGAAAAAATGAAAATGTAATTGAGAATGGTGATCTATAGCTCACTCTTCTCCCTCGACAGGTTCATTTATCAAGCGTAGGAAGTCAGCCTGGTGCTCTTGAATTAGTCGCACAAGCTGCGGGTTTTGTTTACCAAGTTCCTGAAGCATAGGCTGCAGCAAAAAACAGTATTAGTGAAAAATCAATATCATATATTCTGCCAAATAAAGAATATGAGGTTAATAGTTTTACCTGTAGAATTTGTGGGTTTGCTTGTACCATAGCTCGCAAGGCTTGGAACTATGAAAAGGTAAAAAGAATTGCAGAAGTCTTTTATATGAGAAAAATAATTCAAATGAAGTTTGTTAATCTCCAATGGAAAAGTATTGGAATATACCTGCTGACTGTTACGCAGGAAGTCAAGATTACCAGCTCCGGCGCCAGCATCCGCAGCAGGCATGCCCTGGATGCAGACAAATAAGAGTCGATGTCAATAAAACAAATTCACAAGGGAAAACTAAACAAAGAAATAGGTCCATAAGTTTGAAGACTCTACCTGGGGGAACAGGTTTAATGGATTTGCGTTTGGACCACCAGTTGCAGCTGCTGGAGCTGCTTGTTGGGGCTGTGCTTGAGGATTTGCTGCCTGTTCACCAGTAGATGGGGCTTGAGCAACTGGCGGGACT